TACCTTTTCATGAACCGTTGATATTGACCAAAATATAATTTTATTACATTAAAAAATGGCACGCCACTGTTTTTCATCAAAATGAAAATCAGTTTTGTGATCTCTTATTAGTTGCTCACAAAAAGAACCACTTGACTTTTCTTCGTTAGACAAACGGTTTTGGATTAAAAAATAATAGTATATTGTTTTATTAGGATCAAAAGTGACACTTTGTTTGACAAGCGAATTTTGCATTTGCGAGGCGGAGCGTTTAGCGAAGCCGAGCGAAAGCAAAATTTGCTAGTATATATTATTCGTCACGTCTCTTATCTCTGCCTGAACTCACATTGTTATAAAACTGTGAAGTTTTGATGAACAATAAAGGATTGATTGATTGATTGATTGAGGTTAGGTTTTCTAGGATGTTCGAATTGTAGTTTCAATATAAATACAACCACAGAGTAACATATATTTGTGTATGGACCAGGTGCTCTAATGGCAAATACCGCGCCAGTGCCAGCTATAGGAACAATACGTGTAAAATGTTAGGTTAGTGAGCATATCAACAATGGATAATAGTGATTATTTATTCCTCTCCATACTACCAAAGAATCTTTGATACTACACTGTGTTTGATTTGATAATCAAATGAAGCTAAACAATATTGTTGTTTGAGACAAAAAAACTTTTGCTTGCCGTGATTAATCAAAAACAAGTTATATCCATCCCGAGAATAACGAATGAAATACAGATCAAGCAAGTATTTGAATCTTGAAGGCTTCCCTGATCAAAACAAAAATACTTAACTGAGATGTTTATAATTCCAATACTAAACTATAATAAGGTGTATTATATCTCCAGCATGGGTATGAAATGCCAAATCTGCTGAAATCGGAAACAAATCAGGTATGCGTCTCAACCCAAATAACCAACCGTCACAATGTTGTTTATTCTTGATGACGTCCAGTAGATCCCTTTTAGTTCCTAGGAGCTAAAGTTCAACTTTAGCTCCTAGGAACTAAAATTCACCAGCACTCATTCAGTTCCCTGAAGTTGATCTATGTGAGTATGAGGTTCAGTTTTAGAAATATCTTGAGTGAAAGATAGATTGCCGTCTCGTAGACGTATAGTTAGTTATTACGTAACAATAAAAGTTCAATTCCGCCTATAATACATATGATTGCGTCTAGGAGGACTTTCTATCAGATTTTATTGAAATTAAAAGCGGTGTACCACAAGGGAGTGTGCTGGGTCCGCTATTAATTCTAAACACCACAAAAACAGATTGCATTGTTTTCAAAACTAGCCGCAAAAATATCAGCATTCCGGAGTCAATTCAACTGAAAACCGAAGAAACATTATATTTCTCTACCGATGCCAAAATGTTAGGCGTATATATAGATGACAAGCTGAATTTTGAGATGCATATTGATCATCTTGCAAAAAAACTTGCATCTAAATGTTTTGCAATAAGAGTATTGAGAAGAAACTTAAATTTGGAGGCTCTAAAAACAGCATACTATGGGATCGTTTATCCGTTTCTGAAGTATGGAATTTTGATTTGGGGTGGAAGTACTCATTTAGAACGTATTTTTCTAATGCAAAAAAGAATCATGAGAACTATGCTGAACATGAAATACACAGAATCTTGTCGTGGTATTTTCAAACATCACAAAATGCTAACGATATATGCGATTTATATTTATGTATGTGTACTTTTTGTACATGATAATAAATCAAAATTCGAAAGGGACACATACAAACATGAATATCCCACCAGGCAAAAATCAAATTACATAATTCCTAAGCATAGATTAAAAAATACTGAGAAAGGACCGCACTATGCAGCTATTAAATTTTATAACTATATACCCTTGAAGATCAGAGTAGACTGTATAAAAGAAGGAAGTTTTAAAAAACATGTTTTCGATCTATTGTGTGATATAGAACCATATTCACTACAAGAATTTCTTGAAAAATAACTTAAATTATTGTTTTTTTTGTTTTTTTTATTATGTGATACCTACCTATATAATTCTCGTTGTACATGTTATGTGTTATGTGTTCTTTTACAATAATATTGATCGACTGTGATATTTTAATCAATTCTATTTAGTATTTAGTGTTAGTTAAGCTATATTTTCATACTTTTTCACTTTTTGACGACAATTTACACATATATTTATATTTATAAGTTTGTGATATGACTTGAGTTTTTCAACTGTTTTAAATTGAAAGCTTCAATAAATCTATCTATCTATCTATCTATCTATCTATCTATCTATATCTAGATATGCAGGCATTGTCATCTTTTTGAATTTGCATGTTTATGACTTAGTTATTCTTTGCCATATTTTATCACGACTCCAACTGTATTCAGAATGACAATAATATCATCGATAATTTTAGTATTTCAATTTTATTTGAGTATTTCTATAGAGCAAGGTCAAAATGTTGAACATTAGGTACTCCTCTATGAAATTTTGATCGCCAATGGAATTTGTATTTCTATTTTGAACATCATTTTCTCTTCGTCAAATATGTAGAGAACGTTTTTGAATAGCTCACAAAAATAAAATGAAAAAAATTTGGTTTTATATGGACATTTTAATAGTCCCGTCTGTGAGACGTATGGTTAGTGACAACGTTATATATTTGGAACGTTAGTAGTTAAGGGTTAATCTGGAACGCTTGCATCATTATACATTGGCGAGAAATGCGATAATTCACATCCACCTGTTACATACACATGCTTCGGCTGTCTTAAATTGTGCAAAAAACGAAAATTTCGAAGTGGGTGGATAGGTAAAGGAAATTTGGAACGATAATTGAGTAATTGAGAGAACCTAATTCAAGAGGTAGGGGAATGTAACTCAAGAGGAGATCGAAGGTTTTTTGGGATACATTTTTGAAGAATAGAATAGAATAGAATGGAATAGAATAGAGAATACCTTTATTCATACAAGAAGATCATAAAATTATGATATAGGACAAGTCTTAAAAGTTTTTAACAATTTTTATTATCACCAAATAAGTCTTCAATTATTCGAAATTTTGTATAGGTGAGAGAAATGTCCTTTATATAGGGTGTTTCTGTAGGGAGCTAAAACACAATAAATTATTTTTGGAATTATTCAAGAAAGTTCTTATGGAGCGTTTGCTTCCGGTGATGGTATGAGCACCATGAGTAACCATGACTCTCAATAATAGTTGAGGAATTGAGATGGTGAGAACGTTTTTTTTTCTTGGTTCAATTATATTATCGAAAATGCTATATACAGGGTGTATCTAAAAAACACCAAAAAAATTCAAGGGGTGATTCCTTGTGATATTTTAGGAAATAAAGTTCATATAAACATGTTAGGAAGTTAGGACTTGCTTAGTTTATTAATATTTCCATGAAGAATATTTTTTCTATTCATTTCTCAATTTCAATAGAACGTTGTGGTTTTGTTAATAGTGATATATGGAGCTTCTTCTAGTGCAATTATATTCGAAATAATATTTCTAGTGGCGTCACAGTGGGTACGTCACCGTTTTTTTTTAGTTTCATATTTTTATCAGATTGAACTATTGAAATACATTTTTTTTCATCATCTGTGTGATTTTTGTATCTAGCTTAGTTTTTGAGGAAACAATAAAAAATCGATTTGACTCGCCATGAGAAGCGGATTTTGATTTTTTCTTGAGATTTTGAAAATATGAATTGTTTCAAGGGATACTGGTTCTGAATCTTATTGAAAAAAATTATTCACAAGAAGCCCTAATATCCTTTTATTTACGGAATAAAGTCTTTCTTATACCCCTCAACATCGCACGCCAATGGTGAATGAAACTATTCACTCTGTTAAATACTACATTGTTCTAACATACAAAATTTCTAGAAAATCACATAGAAAGTTCTTATGGAGCGTTTGCTTCCGGTGATGGTATGAGCACCATGAGTAACCATGACTCTCAATAATAGTTGAGGAATTGAGATGGTGAGAACGTTTTTTTTTTCTTGGTTCAATTATATTATCGAAAATGCTATATACAGGGTGTATCTAAAAAACACCAAAAAAATTCAAGGGGTGATTCCTTGTGATATTTTAGGAAATGAAGTTCATATAAACATGTTAGGAAGTTAGGACTTGCTTAGTTTATTAATATTTCCATGAAGAATATTTTTTCTATTCATTTTTCAATTTCAATAGAACGTTGTGGTTTTGTTAATAGTGATATATGGAGCTTCTTCTAGTGCAATTATATTCGAAATAATATTTCTAGTGGCGTCACAGTGGGTACGTCACCGTTTTTTTTTAGTTTCATATTTTTATCAGATTGAACTATTGAAATACATTTTTTTTCATCATCTGTGTGATTTTTGTATCTAGCTTAGTTTTTGAGGAAACAATAAAAAATCGATTTGACTCGCCATGAGAAGCGGGATTTTGATTTTTTCTTGAGATTTTGAAAATATGAATTGTTTCAAGGGATACTGGTTCTGAATCTTATTGAAAAAAATTATTCACAAGAAGCCCTAATATCCTTTTATTTACGGAATAAAGTCTTTCTTATACCCCTCAACATCGCACGCCAATGGTGAATGAAACTATTCACTCTGTTAAATACTACATTGTTCTAACATACAAAATTTCTAGAAAATCACATCATTAATTACTGAGATACTACGGTGTATTCATGAAAAGCGGGACGCACTGTATAATATCGCACAATTCCAGTTCAATAAAAAGGTTGAAACAATAAAAGATCTGGATATATTCGTCTTATTCCCTCGAAATATTATATCCTTTCTTTATTGAAAGGCAAAGTTGGAAACTCAATACTTATGGAACAAATTAAAAAAAAATATCGCCCAACGTGGGGCTCGAACCCACGACCCTGAGATTAAGAGTCTCATGCTCTACCGACTGAGCTAGCCGGGCTTGTTGTACATGTATAATAAGGTTGTTTTAATTTTGCAGAGATATATTCCCACTAGGATTACCGCAACAGTTTTCATTTATTGCCACATTCAGAGCTAGAAGAGTGCCTAAAACAACTTGGCATTTCATACGAGTGAATGACCTTGAACTGCAGCCACAGTTCTTAATCTCTTTCAATCCAATCAATCAAACCATTGAATTTTCTATCACTAACTACGAAGGGGAACTTCAAACTGTCGAGTTTGGTCATCCACAGGTGAGCTGATCAACAACTGTTATACGTATCATCAGAAATATTGAATGAGAATAATAGATTGAAGGAATGTGAAAACCTATTATCATTGTATTTTCTATTTTTATTTATATCTTGTTGTTGTAATGCCAATGCTTTCGAAAATAATACGGTCCTGTGGCGCAACGGATAACGCGTCTGACTACGGATCAGAAGATTCCAGGTTCGAATCCTGGCAGGATCGACTCTTTTTTTTTTCAATTTATAAGATAATAATAACATAGATTAAACATTTTTGATGTATGATAATAATTATAAACCAACAGGATACTTTTTTATGCCAACCTGCATTAGTTCCCGAAATGGTTCAACATCGAGGGAAATGGAGGATAGTATTCTGTACCATGCATACTTCATATTATATAAACCAATGAGGACGTGAAAAGTCCTCCCTTCAACTTTTAAACGGAACAAGCTAACGAGGTCAGGTCAAATTCAGGTAAAATGGTACCTATTTTACTATCATTTGGCATAAAATGGCTGTGGTCACATGACCTAGAATCTGGGCAACGTCAATTTCATTTTCCTACGACCACCTATGAAAACAGCACAAAACACATTGATTTGTTATTGAGAAAGTGACTCGTTTCACTATGACAACATATAACAGTTCGAGAGTAAAACTCACACATGGGTAGAAATATTCGAAAATCGCACAGTAACAGCTAGGGTCTATAGATTATGATGTATCAATGAATGATTATTATGCTGAATTATGGTAAGTTAAGTTATGGTCAAGTAAATGGAAAGTTAGTGTCGATTTAACATGAGGTATTGTCGTTAGTGTTGACGTAATGTTAAGTTGATGAAAAGTTGAAATCAGGTTAATTTCAATTGAAAGTTGAATTAATGTCAATGTTTTGGCAATTCAGTGATTAATGTGAAGTTAATGTCAATTTGATATTGGTTGATGTTAATTTGATTTTAAGGTAATGTCAAGTTAATTTTGAGTTAATGTTGATTTAATGTTGAGTTGATGTTGAATAATCATTGAGTCAATGTTAAGTTGATGTTAAGTCAATGTTAAGTTAATTTTAAGTTAATGTTGAGTTGATGTTGAGTTGATGTTGAGTTGATGTTGAGTTTTAATGATAAGTTAATTTCAAGTTAATGGTGAGAAACTGTTCAATTTATGTTATGTTGATGTTAAGTGGATGTTGAGTTGATGTTAAGTTAATGTTGATTTAATGTTGATTTAATGTTAAGTTCATATTAAGTTGATGTTAAGTTAACTTTGAACTAATGATGTCATTTAAATATTGAAGTGAAATTAAATAATAATGATTATGATATTACCTTCATGTGATCGAATATGATTAGAAAAATGATCCCTACTCTGGTCTTATAAACACTCATGACATATAATATAAATATTTGTGGTCGTAGGAAAAATAGTGTACAAAACTCGTTAGAAAGTGCATTTCCTGTGCTCGTTTCGTTTCCGCACTCGCCGCTCTGCGGCTCGTGCTAAACGTCCACTCGCGCGAAATATGTCACTTTCCACACTAGTTATGTAATATACTATTTCAAATGTAAAGAGCGGTCACGTGGTATCTTCTTTTGAAGGCCTTCTGATTCTCTTTCCAACACCGCTTCGTTGGTGTATGGTTTGTGCAAATCGGTCAAGTCTTTCCGAAATAACGAGCGTTTGAAGTTTATACCTCGGAATCAGTACCTATATATATAATTACCATTCGGATTGAAATCCAAATCCAATTTTATTGTGTCAATATGTGAACGATAAGTTTTGAGCACTTGTTAGAATTCTTACTTGCAATTAAGTTCCAATTGAAGGATATTCAGGTTTTTTATTCATCAATATTGATATTTGTAGCACATATGCTTCTCATTTTGGAACAGCTTAGCCGATTAAGACAAACGGAGCGGTTCTGTTAGATAGGGAATCAAAAGGCTTTCAAAACACATGACGACTTCTATTTACATTTGGAAACAAAAATGATTGTGCCCACTTGACACTTGTTCACGTGATCACAACCATTTTCTTGCCAAAAAGTAGTATTACCCACCTCGTTTCCGTTCATATGTTAAAGGGAAGGAAGACTTTTTATGTCGTCACTGTATATTAATTTTTCCACTGCCAGCACGTACCTATTTTCCTAAATTAGGATTTTCGACCGCGAATGCACCGTAAAAAAGTTGGCGATCTGGCTCTATTTTATAGATATTTTCATGGACGATGCTCTCCTGAAATATCAACAGTTATTGTTCCTCCCTTGGCAGTCTCCGCGAGATTAACCCGTTGAGGCTACGCATCCCTTATTCGTGGTCACTTTTAAGACCTGCAAAATATCTCTTCCAAAGACTCGTTCATCCAACGAACAGCGAGGCTCTGGAACACATTACCAAGGGAGGTGTCCCCGAGGCATATAACCTCCAGAAATTTAAGGAGAACACCAATTCCTACCTTATCTCCCTTCGTTCTCAAGATGTTCTCTGAACATTACAGTATATCCCTTTTCGTGGGAACCAGAACAAAACAGAACAAAAAAAAAAGTGGAAAAGTTTATTTGAAGAAACATAAGAAAGTAAAAGTATCTACAGGATGTCCGGTGTAAACCATGGATCATACTCTAGCTGGTGATAATCAAGTTCATATAATCTATCAGAAAATCATAACTTGACCTCAGTTAAAACTTCAAGTTTCTCTGGATATTAGAACTTGTGAATTTGTGGTCGCCAAGGTCACGAAACATCCTATTCCCTGGCATAGATTGAAAGTTAGACTTTTTTTTTGTCGTAGCTTTGAATGTCATCAGAACGTCATCTGACAGCGAAACATGTCGTGTGATTGAAAATTCTGTGGAAAGTTTATAGTTTGAGAAGTTTTTTACCTCTAATGAAAAGAAATTGAATACCTATTCCAATCAAATGATAAAGAGTTTCATGTTGATTCTTATTCTCGATTGATATATACACTCACCGGCAAAAAAAACCGGCCACCAAAAAATGTAGTCAAGTTGTTCACCCTGTAACTTCTTTAGTTCTTGTCGGATTTCGGTGAAATTTTGATCGAATCGTAGATTCATGTTCCGGAATGTTAACCTGAATATGAATTCCCAAAAAAGGTGATAGCTTGGTCATTATACAGGGAAAAACAAGAGTTACTCATTTACCCATAACTTCTTAACGCCCTGTGGCTGAAGTGAGTGGTTGAACTCCTCTTCATTATGTCTTGGATTGAAGAGTATTCTTTTCTCATCACAATAGTTTTTGATTCACGTCGATATCTCATTTTTTAGAAAAGATACGAGGGTTTTAAGAAAGTATGGAGTTATTCAAGTTTCATTAACAATAATCAGAACGTAGACACACCTACACAAAAAATCTTAATTACAAAAAACAAACGAAAAGTTGATCTCCTAGATGTATTCAATACCGAGTATGCCCTCCTCGAGCTTGAATTACAGCATTTAATCGCCGTGGCATCGAGTTGATCAGATTTCTCAAGCAGTTTGAGGAATTGCCTCAAATTCTTCTTGAAGGGCGAATCGTAGCTCTTGAAGAGTCTCTGGCAATGCCGGACGTAGACAAATGCGCCTCTGTAGTTCATCCCAAAGATGCTCTATAGGATTGAGACCCGGGCTGCATGCTGGCCCAGTCAAGCCTTAGAATTCCGACCTCATTCAAATACTCGGTTACAATTCGAGCAACGTGTGGTCTGGCGTTGTCATGCATCAAGACAAAGCCGTCTCCAATAATATGGGAAGTATACCAAGAAAACAATGTGGAAATAAGCCATATTGATTTAAAGATGTTTTTTTTTTAAGTTGTCGATCGATAAGTTTATGTACGTTCTGATGATTGTTAAATAAAACTTGAATAACTTCATACTTTCTTAAAACCATCGTATCTTTTCTAAACAATGAGATATCGACGTGAATCAAAAACTATTGTGATGAGAAAAGAATACTCTTCAATCCAAGACATAATGAAGAGGAGTTCAACCACTCACTTCAGCCACAGGGCGTTAAGAAGTTATGGGTAAATGAGTAACTCTTGTTTTTCCCTGTATAATGACCAAGCTATCAGCTTTTTTGGGAATTCATATTCAGGTTAACATTCCGGAACATGAATCTATGATTTGTTCAAAATTTCACCAAAATCTGACAAGAACTAAAGAAGTTACAGGGCGAACAACTTGACTAAATTTTTTGGTGGCCGGTTTTCTTTGCCGGTGAGTGTATATATATCTATTTTTACTGAATAGTAGTTGTAAGAGTAATGGCAAAAGGCAGACTTCCGATGGCAGTCATTCACGGTCCACAAAAAAAAATTTCCTCCGATTCGGATCCTTCATGATTTTCTTTTATGAAAATCTGTTCAAAGTTTTTTTTAGTAGACCGTTTATGACTGCTATCGAAAATCTGTCTTCTGCGGACTACTATTCAGTAAGATTTATCGAACATAAGAATTAACATGAGACGCTCCTTATTAGAATTGAACATGAAAACTGGAATTCGATTTTTTTTCCATAAAAGTTCCACTATCTCGAATATCGTGAGGTTTTTACTGGTTTCCAGTTTTCTGATATAGGTTATGAACTTGTCAATCACCAGCTATAGAGTTAGGATCCATACTTTATCGGACACTTTGTATAAATGATGTATAGATGATGTCAATTATATAATGTTGTTATATTTTTGTTGTAACAAACTGATGTAATCAGTTTGGTACAATGAAACAGATCGTATGCTTCTAGCTTCTCAAGTATATCTCTGGTTCTCCTTTTCATAATCTTTTTTTTTAGGTTTTTGATAAGAATTGGCATAAAATACACTTTGGAGTGTCCAGGGAAAACGTCATGTTATACGTGGATTGCAGAAATCTATCGCAAGTTCTTCTACAACCCAGAGGCCAAATAGACGTGAACGGTCAAATTTCTGTTTCAAAAGTTCAAAGAAGTAGAGAAACTTTTCCCGTAAGTATATTATAATAATCATTTCTTGCTATCATTCATTGATGTTAGTATTTCACACTGCGTAAAGAGCTCATCGGTGAAGTATTCATATTACAAAGCATCAAGTACATTATACAGGGTGATTCATTGGGAAATGCGCATACAATAATGGTAGATGAAGGACACCAAGCTGCTTCTAAATAATCCATATTACATAGATCTATCATTCTTTATAACTAAGATACTGTGTGATTTATTAATTTTCCCAATTGTTTCAATTGATCAAAACTTATGAACTACTCAATATTCTTTTTGATATTTGGTGTGTATGTTCTTTGTCCTTCGTGGTGACAATTGACATAATAAAAATAATTCTGGTGAAACTGCATATTTATCATGCGATGGGTTTCTTCTCGAAATTTGTTTTTGGTACTTACGTATTTTCGTCTGAAAAACACTAATTTGATAATGAAAATGTGAACGAACCACTATTCATCGAGATATTTCAAGACAATGTTCGAAATGTTGCCTTCTTTTTCCCCTTGTGTTGGATGCATGTACAGCTACTTGCTCTTTTTATTTCGTCATTGGACACTATATATACTCATGATGTACTTCAATGACACATTTTCATGTAGAAAATTCAACAGGAAATATGATTTTTATGGCGAGTTTTCCTCATTTAGTGAACAAGCATACCAGATGACGGCCATTTAATCAATAGTCAATCCAAATACAAGATGTCAAATGTCAAGAGAATGCTTTTGAATGACATCACACACGCAATTATTTTATATGATATTCTTCCTTCTTTTCACAAAATATGGATTAATCACAAGAAAATCGTATTTCAAGTCGACTCGATGATATAAAAAAATGTGTCGTACATATTGTGATATATATATATATATATGAATTGTCCAATGATGAAAAAAGAAGGGCAATTTGTTCTAAATGCGATCCAGAAGACAGGAGGAAAATTAGGTGAAATTTGTAACTTTATAGTGAAATATCTTGATGAATAATATGGTTTGTTCACATTTTCATTATCAAATTCGTGTTTTTCAGACAAGAATACGAGAGTACCAAAAAAGTTTTTCGAAAAAAAAACCAACGCATGATAAATGCAGTTTTATCATAAGTCTTATTCCAGGACCGGCCTAGAGAAAAATAATAAGATTGTTTCCAGTCGAAACGACACCCTGTGTATCAATATTTTAAAATCTCATTTACGAATTTGCGAAGGGCAGGAGAAAATAAGTTAAACTGAATGTATTTGGTGTTTCCGCATGCAACTTTTTTACCTTTCAACTTGAATCAAATCTATACTGGAAGTTTCAATAATGAGGCGGCACAAAATTTTAAAAAAATAATTTGTCGTTCCCAGATGACACTATTCCATTTTCAATCCATTAAATCATCAATTATTTTTTATTCTTCTGATTCTTAGATCCCGACCTGATTGAAAACCTAGGATAAGTCCGTATTTGGGACAAATTATTTCTATCAATGACGAACTTTAAATACCCTGTATGTGTAAAAATGAAGAAAAATGCCCATTCCAAAAAATTATAACTTTGTCTCAAACAAAACTAACGTTGCCACAAGTCTATATTTTAAATGTTGAACATACAGAAAATAACAAAACTGGAATTTTCTTTATCCGCGTCTAATTATTTTTTAGCCATAGAGCATGATCATTTATCGACTCTCCTGACGCATTCTTGTTAATAATGACAAAATAAAGCAGTCTGCAGGTACACTTTGGGTTTGATATCCCGAATCGTTGTAATTGTCAAGTTGGCTGATGTTAGAGTACAATTTGGACGTTGGTCGATGAGTTTGTCCTTTGTACTTGTGTTTTGTGTTTTAACGCTATTCGTTGATAACAGTTATTGCTTACTCAATGCCACAAATTTGATAATAATGAACATGTTGTATGTCTGTGGATTTAACTCAATACACTTTGTAAGGAAGACAGTTCTGTTTGAAATAAAGTTATACTTTTTTCGGAATGGGCATTGTTCAACATTTTTATGATTGTTGTTTCAAATGTAGTACAATGAACAAATTTTCTTACACATACAAGTTAGGCATTGATATTAATAATTTGTCCCAAATAGGGACATGTCCTCTCGTTTTCAATTAAAATAAGGATAATGAGAAATAGTTGATGATTTCATAGATTATAAATGGAAAAGTACCATCAGGGGCCACAAATGATTTTTTTTTAAATTTTGTGCCACCTCGTTATTGAAACCTCTAGATTAACTTGAGCTAATAGGTGAAAAAGCTGTATGCGGAAACACCAAATATATTCAGTTCCACTTAATTTCTCCTGCTCTTTCCAAATCTGTTATTGATAAACAGGGTGTTGTTTCGACTCGAAACCTACTCATTAATTTTTTGAAGCCGGCCCTGGAATGAGAATTATTTTTATTATGTCAATCGTCACCACTGTGGAAAAAGAACATACATACAAACTAGATATCAAAAAAATGTATGGGGTGGTTCATATGTTATGATTAATTCAAAATATGGGGGAAGTCAATAAATCACCTTGCCTCTTGGTTATAAAGAATGATTGATCCATGAAATGAAAAAGATGAAACGAAATAGATTATTCAGAAGCACGGTGAGGGTAGATCACTCTATGCGCATCTCCCAATGTATCACCCATTATTGAAACAAATATTTTTTGAAGATCTCCTATATAGTTGTGCATATTTATTCTTTCATCTCTCTCTCACAATCACTCAGGTCTCAGATATGCAATCTGAAGTATTTGAATTATCTTTTAAGTAACTGAAGTAGTGAAGAAGAAAGATATATCACTTGAGATGTTATCCGAAGACTTTTGAGAGTCGACAGCCTCAATATTTGGCAAGTTGCCATGTAGCGATTTATTCAAAATCGAAAATAGCACTCACAAGATAAGTGTCATGTATTGTTTCCATTGTCGCTATAGTCGAATCTCTGGAATACTCTGTATTCACATCAGTATTTTCGAAAAAAATTCTTCCATTGCAAGCCTACGCACTATATGGTGTCATTTTGAACAGCTGCAAAAAATGGGTGCGGACCTATTTTATTGTGGAAATTCGTATCGGCAATTCGTATTACTGGTGCAATTCTAGTGATAAAATGGTGGATTTTGGATATTTCAACTCATACCTATATACAGTAGGTGTATCTCATTAAGTCGAACCATATGGAAAACTTTTGTATTATTCGTTTCAGGAAAAAAGGTTATCCGCATAAAAAGTTCTGCATGTTCTAAAATGTAAAATACAATCATCGGATATCAAATTTTTTCAGTCGTATGCGCGGTGTATCAAATATGAAGAAACTTCACTATTAAGTACAATTCACATTTTTGGGCACATCGCGTATACGTCTGTGAAATTTCGATATCTCATATGATTGTATTTCGAATTCAAGAACATGCAGAACTTTTCATGACGGATTACTTTTCTTTCTAAAATAAGTGATAAAAAAGTTGTTCACCATATGGTTCCAACTTGGTGGATCATACTGAACTTATAGTGAATATATTATATTATCCATTTTTTTATATTAATATTATGTGTCCCTATCATAAATGGAAATACGTGTTTCTTCCTTTCTTGGGATCTACAATGAAGATTTGATTTTATTTATGCTTTATTGGATGCAAAACTTAATGAGAAGCAAAACACGTATTTTTCGACAAAAAGACATTACAAACCGTCATTCCATTCAGTGTTGAATAGTCTTCATATCATTACTGGCGAAAATATGAATTGCAGCAATCAATTGCATACAAAGAACTGAGATCAGAGAACAACAACTATTGTAGGTAAACTGTAAAGCGACTCTAATAAAATTCTTGAAGCAACTATTCGTACAAACTACCAGCTTTGTAACATCGTCTGACGTTTTCCCTTAACATGAGCAAAAACGAATCCACTTGTAGAAAATGCTATGGCAGAAAAGTATAGGCACATTCTTCTTCAAGAAACCTTCTACTTCCAGAAATATCTGTATATAATTGTTATCATTCATGGATAGTGCATGGAGTGTTCAGTTGACAAACTTGGGAAGCTGTTGAAGCAAATAGAACGTTTTATAAAATAATCAAGGATTGCTTTTCCACCCACACTTTTGATATTCCTGGAACATTGCACCATATTCAGTGCCCGTCCAAAGTCCGTTCCCCCTATTTATTTTTCAACCTTCTGGTATATCGCGACGAAATCTAGAAGGCTCAAATAGAAGAAGGAAACCTACTTCTCCATGAAAAAATCATAAAAAAACAACAGCTCAAAGTTTCAAAATGACTGGCGAGCGCCATATTGAATTAATTTTTCCAACGGAACACTCCGTATATTATTCCATTTTCGAAAACTGGAATTGAGAGGTTCATGCAGAACTTTATTCAGATACACACATGCACATGGATACAAAAACATTCAGAGATCATAAGCGTCATAATATATAATGACAGCTCTTGAGATCAACTGTTCATCTGTGGTTTATTATCGAAGAAATGGAGGTTCCTGAAGAAACTACAGCTTTGATAGTGATAAACTCCTTATCAGCTTCAACATTAGTGTAAAAATAACGCACCATCGAAAATTCGCAGTACGTTTTTTGATGAGGAGAAAAAGAAAGTTTTAATTTAATGAAATTCCGTCTTCTGTTCTTCTTTTGTTTTCTCGAGCATTTTTTGATGATTGTATGGAGAAATTTCATTTTAACATTTCAACATTCTGTTTAGTTAGCAATACCTATTGACATGAATACCATGAACGAAATCGCAGCTTATTCGCTTTGAGATTAAAAAAAATTGTAAAATTCATCCTTTAATCAACTGCATGAACCAATGTATCGAAAACGCGATTTTCAACTTCAAAAGATCTGAGTTAAATTAAATTCAGGTTATATCAGGTTGTGCATCAATCCACCTCATAGTAAGTAGTAAGAATAGCAGCTTTGGATGGACTATACCTATACAATATTATTATCAGGAATAATCATGCGTCGAAAAGCTAAAAGTACGGAAAAGTCATATTCACCTAGGCTTTCCTCGTTTAATCTCACGTCTCAAACCCTCATTAGTGTGATTTGTCTCACATGTCATTAACCCAACGTTATTTTTGTCTGAAAATATTGAAGCTTCAGGTGCATTAGAGAGTTATCTTGATCTGAGTACCATATCAAGAGTTTGCTTTCTGCATCTTGCTGTTCAATTTTTCATCAATGAATATTCGAATACATATCTCATCACATTCATTTGCTGTACAGCACCAACTAACACACATTTTTGTTCCAACAGCGGACTGTCCCGGTAAGTTATTACCAAGCTATTCAGATAGTCATACGTAGTTTTAGATTATTAGTGATTTGTGTAGTTCACACTTATCTAGATGGAGACTTGAATGAATGAAAAATCTTGGCAGGGTATAATTACAGTTCGTTGTTCGAAAATTTGTTCAATGTTGCATAAGTGGAACACTGATCCGTCTCACTGATCGACATGTACAGAAGTGCTGAACGGACATGATAATTTTTTTTTGTAATTGCCAGTTTGAACTGGCAATTAATCATAATTGCAAGTCTGAACTCGCAATTAGTTATAATTACCAGTTTGAACTGGCATTTAGCCATTATTGCCAGTTTGAACTGGCATTTAGCGCTTTCGTACGAGCAGGGGCGGATCCAGGGGGGGGGCATGGGGCCATGGCGAATGCAGCCAAACAGAAATTGAAAGAACTGAATGTTGAATTTTTGATGCCTAGAATAACAGGGAGAATGGTTCATAGACCAAATACGGTTTCCTCAGTGGATGACCATTACAGAATAAGTGTTTTCCTTACAGTAATATTATTGATCTGAAAGAAGGAATATCAGAAAATGAATTGAATCAATAGAATCAATACAACCTTCACCTTTGTGTGCCATCTCAATAACTAAAAACAAAACAGATGAGAAAATTTATGAGTTATGGAAAATATACTTGAACAGTTTTGGGGAGAATAATGAAATGTCCTTCCAGAACATCGTTTCTGAAATGTATATATGGAAGAAAATGAGGGATACTAAGCAAAATATACCAAACAATGGTATAACTGCCCTGAAAGAATGTAACAAACATTTGTTTCCTAACATAAACATCCTTCTGGAACTATTTTGTTGCCTACCTGTAAGTGTTGCATCTTCTGAAAGGAGTTATTCAACACTCAGAATCCTAAAAAATTGGATAAGATCCAGAATGGTCCAAGACTGGTTAAATGGATTGGCATTAATGCATATTCACAGGGGCATCTGCAGCAGTCTGAATGTTGATGATATCATCCAAAGATAAGCTAGGCAGAAGAATAGAAGACTGGAATTTGTTTTCTTTATTTTATATATATTCTTATTTTTGTCTGTTTCATTTGTTTTATTTTTGAAGAGAAATATTTTCATTCACTTTTGTACCCAAGTTTTTCAACAGAAATATTTTTTCATTCACTTCTTTTATCCAATATGATTTATTATAGAATTCTACATACATTGATGGAAAATTTTGTTCACCAATAATTTCGATGTTTACTGTGATCAGTTTCTTTAATGAAAAAGCATTTGTCTCATATAATTTCGTTTCCGCGCTAACCTTATTGAGCTGTGTCTTTCTATGGCCCCCCCTCAAACATCGTCTGGATCCGCCCCTGCGTACGAGAGAACCCCGCAAATTTTCAAGGTGAATTGAGTCCTGATGGATATTTCTCAATTTTTTGAATGATGTAGTTCATGTGGTTCTATGAAATATTTTCATTGAGCTAACCCCCAAAAATGGACAGTTTTTTTTGCCAGGTGAATTCGAATTCACATTTTGATCGAATTGATCATTTATTTCTGAGAAAATGGACGATTTCCCAAAACTCTTCTTTCCATTCAATTACTTCTTAAAATAGATTCTTCATAGAGGAATATAATGGGGGGGGGGGAATTATTACCTCTATTTTGAAAACCGAAAAAAAAAGAATGCTATTTTACTGTCAAAAGTGATAGGAAATGTTTCATCACAGATAATCATGCCAAACTGGTAAATATAACTGAATGCCAGTTAAAACTGGCAATTATAGGAAAATGCTAGTTCAAACTGGCAATTATGGCTAATTGCGAGTTCAAACTAGTAATAATGGCTAATTGCCAGTTCAAACTGGCAATCATATCTGAATGCTAGTTCAAACTGGCAATTATTGCCGATTTAATTATAGAAAAAATTATCAGGTTCGTTCAGCGCTCTCGTAGACATGAAACATAATAATTTAACATTTCAAATAATATAGACATAATGAAATGATAAAAATCTTGTTCTGAAACTCCCATAATTATAACCTCGAAAAGATAATCTTATCACCTGATACATTTTCATCATCCTCTAACTCACTTATAAATGGAGCATTCCATAATTAAAGCTCAATTAATATAATTCATTCACAGATTGATCTACAATGGATGGTCATGAGCTGCGATCCAACTAGACCTGAAAGAGAGCGTTGCAATGAACTTCCAGTAAGTACTTCAAGATTCTATACTGACGAGATAATCTACATTGGTATTTTCTCGTTTTTAGAAAGTGCGACCTGTCGTACCAATTATATTACCTGGACCAACTCCTTCACCAGATCTGACTTGTGACGTTGTTTGTCCAAGAGGTCCTCCTGGCTTCAATGGGACTAATGTATGTACTTTCATCAACTATACGTAGGTAAACGAAATAAAAATAGCTCTGCACCACCTCGAATGATTAGGAGTCGTTGTAACTCTTTAGTAAATGAATTCTGAGATGTCATTCTTCAACGAATTTGCACTGGGTGGTGCAGACCACTTTTAATTGTCTACAGGATGAATCAGATTAAGACCGGCTTCCTTGCCTCATTTACTGGTGAAACGTTTCTATCAACGTATGTACTGATATGCATCATCTCTAAGAAACAGGGTATCGAAAGTAGAAAAAAAAGTACAGGTACCTGCATTATTTTTTCAAAAACTACTGCAGAAATACAACTCTACTTGGTGTACTATCCCAGATTAATCGAACTAATCATTTGGAGTTTTCATTCTCGAATTATGGTTACTACTGGTGTAGTAACGGTCGTTTTTCTCAAAATTTTTTCTCAGATTTTTCTTAGACAGATAAAATATTATCAAATTGGTTTTTGACATCAGTCAGGCTTATCGATACTCAACCTAGAAGTGATGACATTCCATGTTCCTAAATGTAGAGGTTCCTGAGGTATTCGCGAATATATATGTCTTGGAGTCATCACTACATTGTTTGATCACTAACCTATCGATATTTCAAAAGCCTCGACACGTGTTCCGCTATGTTAGCATCTTCAGGAGGAGATTAAAACTAAATATCCTATTCTAGTAAGCTACTTAAGAACTAGGTATATGTCCACCCAACCGAGTAGACGCTATATACATATAGGCTGATTCACGGTGGATGGCACATCAGACGTTTCTGGAGAACGCAACGTAGGATTATACTGAAAATTTCACACCAAACATTTTCGATCAATTCATATCCTGTATTTCGTATCGTTACCATGGCAACTAAACAAATTTCTTGGAAATTTTCTCCTTCTCCTTTGGGGACGGAGCATGAAATTACACTGGAATTGTTTTGACGTTTATAGGTTGAATGACACAACTCCAGATTATTTCGAGTTCATTCTACAAGTCAATAAATGATAATCATTTATCAACAGTTTACCATGTAATAGTATGTAGGTATACTTGCAAATTCGACATTTACTAAAACACATGTTGTTACTATACGTTAAGTTCCTACATTTCATCACAAACAACCATCATTTTTATATAAACACTATAATATTATACCTATTCTTCAGTTTTTACATGGAGAATGACATACCTACGTAAATAAAAAATATATATTATTCTTTTGAGTTAACATACAAAGCCTACTGTTCAAATGCCAAAACCATCAATAATCGTCATCATCCAATTATATAACGTGACTCACGCATTTATTGAATTGTCTTACCAAATCACATTCAAGCATTATTTGGGTCGAAATATACTTGAAATTTATAATTCGAGTATTGCTGCCTATATGAACTCCCGATTTTTTCGAAGGCAATTTTTTTCTTCCAATTTCCAGGCAACAAAAATCTAATCGAAATGTCAAGTTAACTTCGACAAAAAAAAGCTCTCCTGTATTTTGGCTCATGCAGAGATTAGTAAGATTGACCAATTCTTCAATATCATCCGGATCAAGTCGAAATATTCGAGTGAATCCCTCGAATATCCCAAATTGTAGTATGGGTACACTTGGATATAAGGAATTTCCCTTTTCGACGAACTCAAGCAAATATTTCAAGTAGGAGACCCACATGTGGATACAATCGGCCTCATTTTCTCACCAGGTTCGTGTATTTTAGGTAAACAACATAATTTTGGTAGTGATATATGATTAAGGTTAACATGCGAAGTCAACCATGACAAACATTAACTTGGCGGTTGGTATCTTCCACGGTTGGGTAGACACATACCTAGTATGTAAGTAGCTCACTAGAAAAGGATATTTTGTTTTAATCTTCTCCTGAAGCTGCTAACATTGTTAGCAAAACATATGTCGAGCCATTAGATTTCAGTCTTCGATATATCTTGGGACATTATCGAGTAGAGGCTCAATTTGCTGGGTACCATAATCGCATAATACTTCCCCTCTAGAGAATACTTTTTTTCAATAGTGTGATGGTTCTGATTAAATGAAGATAGCTTACAACTATCAACCACGAATGTAGAATTTATGTTACTTGGATTCCATGTATTTACATCGATTAATCTGGAATAGCATACCGAGTTTCAATACTTTTCCTTCAGGGGTTTCCAAGAAATTAAAAGAAACGCCAAATTTTTTCGTACTTGTGATAGGTACCCTGTATTTCAGATAGGATGCATTATAGGACAAACGGTGATGGAAACTTTTCATCTCAAAATAAGGTAATGAATCCGCATACGAAGTATTTCTGTGTAATTATTATAAGTATTTACAAGAACTGCATGCCTGAAATTTTTCCGAACATTATAGAGGTCCCCTTTCGTGCGCCTTAAGCGATAGGAAACAAAACTTGAGAGAGCTTGATCAAAAGAGATCGGCTGCGCCCGCTGGTTCCTTCGAGATGTTGCAACGAGCCGCGTTCCGCGGGCGATTTTTCTTGCTGAATTTGTTTCAAGTGGCTTCCTAAAAACTTAAATTACCATCCAATATGTAGATGAACATATTCCAAGCTAAGCATATTTATTGGTTTCTTAGCAAATGGAACATCACCAGAGGAGACAATGATATATTTTTCCTAATCAGATGTAATCATGTAATCAATCGACTCCAATCTAGTTTTTCTTAGAGGATTACGATGGTATGGTTCAACCTCAATTTTGTTCATTATTTCAGATTTTTTGGCGGCAAAAGTCGCTCGAAATTGTAGAACTTCGCAGATGCCGAAACTGGCACAGCCTCTGGCAATATGAACAAACATTGTTGTTTGCGTTTGAGAACTACTTCTTGAACCAACTAAATTGGATCTGAAATTCCAAAAATGTTTCTTATCCAGCTCATACTTTCTCATCACATCAAAGTTTCAGTAAAATGTTATCATCAACTTTGGAATTCTAATTGAAATTCCCTGGCAAAACTAGAAGGAGCCGACACGTTATCAATACGCTGTTCATTCATACACATTCTGGAATTGTGTATCAATTGATTATGAATGATTACCGTCGCAACATATTTTTGATACCAGACACAATCACAGTTGTGATGCGAACTGTACCGCGACAAATAATACAAATGGCGGCATCCATCTTCTAGTCCATTTTTGCAACTGAATACGTGCAAACCGGAATTTCCACGCTGCGTCGCTTGAGGCTATCCCCACCATTCTAATACTTCTGAAATTGGATAATTCCGTACCCCACCCTGTACAACAACTGTTCGTTAGAACATGAAGTATACAAACAAAAATATACATTTGAAATTTCTACAATTTCTAATATAAGAAAATTTTCGAATTCTCAGATCCAGTTACCCTTCTAAATTTATGAAACTCTTGAAACTCTGGAAACTATGGCTCGTCTGTAGAATGAGAGTATATCAGTTAAGCTATTCGTCCATCACAGATTATTATAAATATGTGTATTCCAGAAGCAATAAACTATCATTTGTATTATTCCAATCCATCACTCTATAGGGTTTTCCTGGATTACCTGGAGAAACGGGGCCACAAGGAATACCAGGAAGAGCAGGACTTCCAGGACCTAGAGGTGAACGTGGTTTACCTGGCACTCCAGGATATCCCGTATGTTTCAAAACCATTTTCTGATGTTCTCTTCTAAAAAGTTATGGCCAAACTAACCATCTACTAAATGAAAACCACCAGATTTGTCTGAAACACCTTGAACGATACCAAGAAGCCCAAGGATACCAGGAATCGCTGACTAAAGATGCTAATGATACTAATAAAATAAAAAAACTGTTGACAGGGATTACCAGGGTCAAGAGGTGTAATTGGTCCCAAAGGTGAACCTTGTCAACCAGGAAAGAAGGTTTATGCTGGAATGATTGGCACTAATGAAACTACCGTAGGTTTAACTCGTATAACTTGAATCAAACTGAATTGAACTTAATGATGCCTTATGTCCAACTAGATTACCGTAAATATGGCCGTTCATATTTCAATAATTATTTTTATACAGGATGTCCCATTGGAAAACGGAAGAACTTCAACGATGGGTAAAGCTCATCAGAATGGTTCTGAATGTATCATATTTGTATAGGGTCTCACATAGTTATATATCCGAGATATTGGGTGTTTTATCCATTTTGCTGTGTTCTTTGTGAGAACATAACTCACGAACTACCCAGAATATTATTTCGCAATTCAAAATACAATTCTTTCACCATCTATCCAAGCAACTCGCCAATCATTCAGGAGAAAAATCCAGGTCCGTATTGACGGAAATTAATCATATTTCTGAACCCCAGAAAGAACACCCCGTATTTTCGAATTTTCATTTTCAAAATTAATATTGAGTATTATGTATTTGTGGAAAGAAATTGAACGAATCAATCGATTTAATGACTGTTGAAAAAAAATGGTATTTCCCCAAATATAAAAACAATGAAAATAATAAGAAATCTACCTTTTCAACTTGAAACATAAAAATTATAACATTTGCCCAAAGTACCCACCATTTTGATTCGAACAATGTAATCTTGTTTTTAATTTCTGTGCATGCTTCTTCGATATTTTGAATTTGCTCCTGCTTGGTAGTAATCTCAGGCGAATACACTCCAGATTCAAGATAACCCAACAGATGATGATCCACGATATTCAAATCGGGCGATCTTGGAGTCCAGGATCTTCCTGATATATGGATTGGACAAAGAGGTCGTCATAGCTGGACTGAAACATCACCAGGTTTAAATACCGTGGATCATCACCTGTGAGGTTAACTTGAATCTGAAGTGGATACTAACAGGAAGCATGAGGAAGCATGCAGAAAAAAGGAAGACAATCAGGAGGTGCCTCGAAAATCAATGAGAAATATAACAAAAAGAACAAGAAAGAGATTCGTAAATGTTTTGTAGTTTTTGATTTTCTAATATTTGAGGAAATGGAATTGTTTCAACAGTGATATGTCATTATCCAGCCAGCACAAAGAGGTCCTAAAGAAATCTTGAAGAAATCCTTTTAGGAAATTGTGATGCCTTTTGTAACTTCTTTGAGAGATCGCCGAGAGTGCTATATCTAGGTCAAATGTCCGCCACCTAGGCTGAGCTCAGCGAGGTCTTGAAGATATCGCACGCAGAAATTCTCATACAATGCCCTCAGGCGCGCACTCTGAGATATACGCTTCCATCGCCGCTGGCGATAACTGAAAGTGCTCGCAATCATGAGCTGTTTGAGAAATTCTCATACATTGCTTTGTGACGAGGACATTGGGAGATTCGCATCAATTGCTTCTGGCGAGGTCTTTAAGTGCTCGCGACTACGAGCCTTTTGAGATTTTCGCACGCATCGCCTTGTGAAGAGAACTTTGGGAAATTCGCATCAATTACTAATAGCGAACTCTTCAAGTGCTCGCAACTATGAATTGTTCAAGAATCCGTGCACATCACCTTATAACAAGGCCTTTAAGAGCGATATTTGCATCAATCGCCACATGATCGCCACTAATATGGTAAGGTGTTCAATTTTTGAGAAGTCATTGTTTATCAGCAGTCTCCTGTCGGCGAAGTCTAACTAGCGCCAGCTATATTGTTTGGGGTGGAGTTAAATTTACTGGATATTTGTTTCAGCAAAAAAGATTGAGTTACCAAACTTAGAGTTAGATCAACGTAATGAGCTTTAATTATATATTATTTTATAGCAAGACATTGATCAAGTAAACTTTATCACTTGAAAAAATCTCCGAGGAGTTGGCCGGGTATCCTTCAAAAAAAAAGGTCGTCCGATATCTACCCACGAATTTGAGGTAGATATTTGATTCTCGATCCCACCTGAATTGGAACATTTTTGTCTTTTTCGTCAGAGTAGATAATTAATTATCATTAATTCACTGCAAAATTTTAAATTATCTTCCATAATGGCGGAGAGATAATAATATGACCTGTTGAACACATTCTCTGAGACAGTAAGAAAATCTAGTATCTAGTATACAATTATTATTATCATAGATTAATGACTCCCATTTCATGTTAATACTGGGTGTCCCAAGTTATCGTAAAGGTACCGGCAAAAACTTGCTTACTCGACAAGATGAACAAAAAATAGTAAAAATGCTTCAAATGACATCAGAGAACTTTCTTTATGACTCAAAAAAAAGTGTATTAGATTGGACAGCCACCTGGTAGCAACTCCTCAATTTTCATTTAATGGACTCCCTGTATATTGTCATTGAAAATTGCCAATCATCCTATTTCGGGAATGAACGATAGCACATCGGTACTTTGTATTTTGTTCATTAATAACAACATTAACAATAAAATTTTTTGACCTCATTTACGTTACATCGATTGAAAATTGCCTCCTCCCATGTTCGTTAAAATGTCCCACAATGAAATTAGATTAATTATTACACTAGGTAGGTACCGTCTGCAATGATTGATGTTCTGCAGTTCAAAATGGAATATCTGTCATTAATATTTTGAAACAAAAATGCAATCCATACTTCTTATTTGTGAACTTCTTGAACACATGGGTGAAAGCAATTTGTCATTTGAGTAACGTAAAAAAGTCACAAAATGTTCATGTTTTTGTTGTTATCAAGAACAAAACACCAAGTATGTGCTATATCGTTGTATTCCAAATAGATTGACACACAATTTTCAGAGACAATATGCTACTAGAAAATAAAAACTGATCAGTATCTATCATCCGGGGGCTGCCAAATTCACATTATTCTTCATAAGCCATCAGGAAGGTTATTTAATGCCATTTAATGCAGTTTTTTAATGCTTTTGATATCTTGACAAATAGGCGAGATATTGCCTGTAAACGATAACTTGGGACACCCAGAATTTGAATTATAAAGCCTATTGAAAAAAACAACTTAATATTTTTGTAGGAATATTCATTAATTATTCAGGTTATGTTTGTGATTACTTTAGGAGCTCGCAATGGGAAATTCTCGATCTTGTTACGTCCAGGATATCCTTGGGTGCTCGCACAAAGAAATGCCTATTCAGTTCCTGTTATAGATAACCTCAAGGATTCGCAATAATGAGGAATATATCAAATCTGAGGCGAGATCTCCGCGATTTCTTTCGGACGACTCCAGAGAATATTTCCCATGGTGAGAGCCTATAGTGATCTTTGACACCTCGCAGGAGGATTTCGCTTTTTTATCCTGAAGATAACTACTTAGAGATATTGCGGAGAGTTCCGTGTTACCTGGGGCGATTGATTCGTTCAATTTCTTGACTCAAAAACATGAGTAATCAATTGTGAAATTGAAACATGTGCGTACGCATACAGGTCACAAATGCTGAGGATGACTGTCCAATAGGATATCAGTGCAAATTGCGGTGATTTTTCTTACACGGGAAAACTCAAAGCATTCCATCAATGCATGAAAGCTCAAATCCATCAGTAAAAGATCATACGGGATGATGAAAAGTACACTACTTGATTCAGATTCTTGTGAACTTTTCAAATATGTAAGCGGTTTTTTGAAATTCGAAAATACTATGTGTTAAAGAAAGAATATTCTCAGATTTATTATGAATATGAAGAAATTGATAATGATATATATACATTGAGAATTCGCATTCTCTATGTAATGAAAATATTGATTCTTATGCTCAACAGAAAACAACTACTTTCTTGGCTATATGCCACGACGAACATTGTATCTATTGAACACACACGATGAGGATTTGAAAATAAAATCGCCTGAGGATATTTTTTTTCAATACTTTCATACCCGATCAAGGGGTTCAAACTTGAACGATTTTAGATCGGGTTTTCTCGATTCAGAATTTTGTTCCACATCCTGTATGATGAATATCAATTTTGTCATAGATCCAAAAACGAAAAAATACTATGTTCTCTCTTTGGAGCCTAGAGTATGATCAAATTTCGTTAATCCGGACCTGGATTTTCATCGTGACTGATGAATGAGTCGCTTGGGGAGAAGAAGGAGAACTTACCAGGTGGTTCGTGTTATTCGCTTGGGAAAACTCAAAATATTCCATTTCTACCTATCCAAATGCATAAAACCTCAAATTCAGAATCAGAAATTCTTTAGTAAAATAGCATGCGGAAAATGGAAAGAACACTATACGATCCAGCTATTTGTGCACAACATGTAAGCCGATTTTGAAAATTCGAATATACAGAGTGTTCTTTTTGGGGTCCAGAAATATGATAGATTTTTGTTGATCCGGACCTGGATTTTGCTCGTAACTGAACGGTGAGTCGCTTGGGTAGAAGGAGAAGGAATAGTGTACCAAACTCCAAAAGAATATACTAGGTGGTTCGCAAGTTATTACGTCACAAAGAATTGAACAAAGTTGATGAAGCACCCCTATATCTCGGATATAAAACTTGTATGACGCCACAAAGATGGTATATACAGAACCACCTTGATAAGCTGTACTCACCGTTGAGATTTCTTCGTTTTCCAATGGGACACCTTGAATATTGGATCAACACTCACCTGATATTCTGCTTATGACACTATAGGCATGTTCGTTTGTGCTTGCTCTACCTGCTGAACTTTTTTTTCTTTTTTCTATGACTTTCTTTGTTTACATTATCCCATGAACAGAGACAACTATGGAAAAAAAGCAACTTCAGCAACTTCACCAATACAAACGAATTATAGTGATTGTTTCAATGAAACACGTGGAATCACGTTCTGAATTCTATATAGATTCATATAATTTGAGATCATGGAGTAAGTACCTGATTGAAACCCATTCCACGTAGTAGTATACCGTCGAGCACTTTGGGCAGAACAACAACGAAGTGAGTTTCATCATTGAATTCACATAAGTTGATATATACCTTTGAGTTGTATACTTACCTACTTCATCTTGATTAAATCAAGGAATGATTTCATGTACACTCATAGCTTCTTTGCTCATTACGTACTTGTTGACATTTCCTGATGACTTCTCTTGTTCTAGTCATACTTACAAATTTTCAAAAAAAATGCTACCTATTTTATGTTGTCTGATCAATAATATCTCGAAGATGTAATAAATATTATAGCTAATTCAACTGAATATCGAAAGGTTATTATAACGAATACTCCTTAGGAAATGCATGTTTTGCCTACTTCATTTGCATTAAATTCTCGAATATCCGTTCGGTGAGGTGAGTAATCTTTATGTGAATAGTCAATGAGCCATCATCATAGGGCTTCTTGATGTTATTTCAATGATTGATCTTCATTTGATAGGGATCACCTGGATTGCAAGGGCTCCCTGGAATGAGAGGAACACAAGGTTTAACCGGAAATATTGGAATTCCCGGTAAGGATGGTTTGCCAGGCGTAAAAGGAGATATGGTAAGTTTCATCATCAACTTTCAGATACTTTGGAATGAAAAACTGAACTTCGAGTTTCGATTCCTCCAGTGACTGGGAGATTCGAGAATCATAACATGAAATAGCATTGACTGTTATCGTCGAAGTTCATTTCGTCGGAAAAACGTTGATGAATACACTTCTAAAATATATTGAAAATTCAACCTCATAGATGATGAAGATTTTCACGATAACGGTGAAGTAGATTGTATTTGTGACTTCTGTTTCTTTGGTTCCCAATCATTGTCCTAAACTCCTTTATGTTACAAACCATAATGCTATAGACCAAGCAGTGTAAGAGGAATACCTACAAATGTGACTAAACTTCTAATCGAAATACCTACATACCATGTCATCAAGCAAAATAGGTAGGTACTGTATGAATGATCTTCCAACGAAATTTTTGTTCACTCGTCTTGAGGAGAAACATTTTCAAAATTATTTTAATCACAAATCGAACAAAACAATATTTTGGGTATTTCGTATTCAAGAAAATGTTTGCAATCAGGGCGCTACTGGTTCGCAAGGATCCAAAGGAGACAGAGGAACTGATGGTATTCCAGGCACTCCTGGAGATCAAGGGCCACCGGGACCGAGGGGACCACCTGGTGAAACGGTCACGAGTAATGGTGAACTGAAACCAGGACGACAAGGTCCAATGGGACCTAGAGGGCAACAAGTAGGGAATTTTTTTTTTTCAATTCAAGAACGTCCTATAATTTCATGTTTTTTTGAAGAAGAAGTGAAGATAAGTTTTCAGATATCTATTTGGAAGTTCAAGATATTTTTTGTTTTTTTTTTTAGATCAGAGTTTTCTGATCAATGAATGGAGTTATGGTCTTTCCTGAGATTTTGTAGTTTTTGTTAACATACTGTCTGTAGGATAATCGAGGAGGTGGTACATTCATTTCACTTTGTTCTTTGGGATTTTCTCTCCTCGTTTCTATAAAATAAAAGTATTCGTATTATTTCAATATATTTGTAGAGGGACAAATCAGATGATTTGCCCCAAAATGTCACTGCGTTTAACAAATTTTTCTATCAGGGAGTCTAAAAGAAAAATCCAGTAGCTTGTCAGTGACATTTTACTTGGTTCTTTGGGATTTTCTCTCCTCGTTTCTATAAAATAAAAGTATTCGTATTATTTCAATATATTTGTAGAGGGACAAATCAGATGATTTGCCCCAAAATGTCACTGCGTTTAACAAATTTTTCTATCAGGGAGTCTAAAAGAAAAATCCAGTAGCTTGTCAGTGACAATTTGTTTGAAAAAAATTTTTTTTGAAGGAAAGAAATATAGATATATTGAAAAAATATCGAATTTGTACTTATCTTTGGACGTTTCGGGACCGATTCTGCTCCCGTTCTCAACATGTAAATGCAAATTATTTTTCTTTGAAATTTTTGCTGCGTATAGTTTGACACTTTTCAATGTCATACTGATGTTGGCATATGAATGAGTGATTTTAGTCTACAAATGAGTTACAGGATGTTTTCATTAATTGATCTTGAATCTACCAAAAATAATTTGCATTTACATGTTGAGAACGGGAGCAGAATCGGTCCCGAAACGTCCAAAGATAAGTACAAATTCGATATTTTTTCAATATATCTATATTTCTTTCCTTCAAAAAAAAATTTTTTTTTCAAACAAATTGTCACTGACAAGCTACTGGATTTTTCTTTTAGACTCCCTGATAGAAAAATTTGTTAAACGCAGTGACATTTTGGGGCAAATCATCTGATTTGTCCCTCTACAAATATATTGAAATAATACGAATACTTTTATTTTATAGAAACGAGGAGAGAAAATCCCAAAGAACCAAGTAAAATGAATGTACCACCTCCTCGATTAACCTACAGACAGTATTTGTCAGTGACAATTTGTTTGAAGAAATTTTTGAAGGAAAGAAATATAGATATATTGAAAAAATATCGAATTTGTACTTATCTTTGGATTTTTCTTTTAGACTCCCTGATAGAAAAATTTGTTAAACGCAGTGACATTTTGGGGCAAATCATCTGATTTGTCCCTCTACAAATATATTGAAATAATACGAATACTTTTATCTTATAGAAACGAGGAGAGAAAATCCCAAAGAACCAAGTAAAATTTTGTTAACATGTTTTCTCTGCGCGTTCGAAACAATTTTTACCTGGGATATAAAATAGATTAGATGTTTTTGACATCTTTCTAAAACGTTTTTTTTTTTTTATGTTTCGAAAGATTCCATGCATGTAGGGTTCCATTGATATGTTTTGTACACACTATGTATTCACTAATATCCTCGTTTCAAAAATCAGAAAGTACAACTGAATTACGCCCAGACCAGTCATCAGTATACGGAGAACGAAAGGTACCATTATCCTGAAAATTGGTAGAGTCGGTGTAGGAAACATGGAAAATCCAACTGAAATATTTTTGAATGAATACAAAAGAGCTCAAAATGAATTCCACGAATGTTCATAAAATAAACAACAATGGTAGATGACGGGAGAAAAACAACAGCTTTCCTGGCTATGCCACGCAGAACATTGAATTACATCCGTCCAAAATCTATGCATCGATTCGTATGAACGAATATTATTGCGAGTGTTTATTTCTCTAATGACATTGTGGCTATTTCGATTGCCAGTCGGGCAATCAGCCACTCCCATTTGTGGGTATTTCAGTTTTTTGCGAGGTGTTTCTTTCCTTCTAGTCTAGATGGCGTTAAACCCATGTGACTCACGGGAGATTCCTCTGAGACTAAAAACTTAACTGATTGAAATTTTATGGCCAATTAAGTTACGCATAACCGGCTCTCTTCAAACTGCCAGCTGGAGACTATCCTACACTGATGAGAGCCAAAAAAGCACGAAACCAGTATGTAGGTGTCGTTGCGTTAGCCTGGCTAATTCGAAATCAATCGGAATTAGGAAACAGCGGTGCCACAGCTCGCTCGATTGAGCGATATCTCCCTCGTTTTGTGGCCAATTGACTCTCTCGCTCCTCTTTGTGGAATCTCGCTCGTTTTCACTTTTTCTAGTAGTCCATACAGAATAGACGCAATATGGGATAACTAAGTTTATATTTTTTCGAAGTTCAGCTAAATCGGCATCGATATGGCCTAACGCAAGTCATGAATTCAATGTTTGTGCCATTCTACCAACTGAACATTCGACCGAATAGCCTTCTTGGAAACCAAGGTACCTTTAGGAATCATAATTGAGATGCCTATAGGATCGGTTGCATAATTCTCTTTGCTAACTCAACTCTTCAATCAGCTATGGCCTATGGCATGCTTTGTCATGGATATGATATAAACAAATGAAATATTAAATCATATCAAAATGCTTCTGAAGCGATGAAAGAGTTGAGCTATTATCTGATAGATGGAAGCAGTTTGAAGGAAGTAGAAAAAAAAAGTGAAAAAGAAGATTATTTTCATATTTATTCATGTACCTAGGTATCATAGTAATGTTGTTTGAGTTGAAGTAGGGTTTTTCCCGAGGTTTTTAAATTCATGCATTTCATCAACAACAGAATCTCGCTCTTTGAGTTGATATCACGCTCGTTTTTTACAGAAAAGTTCGCTCAAAAAAACGTTGGGACGTTTGAAAGAAAACATCGAATTGCTCAGAGTCGTTTATCGTTCGGATTCGTGGTTGGAAATGTAATCCCCGATGAAATCGCAGTTTTCATTCAAAACCTTAGTCAGTCGTTTTTTTCCTGAAGTTCGATATAATATTCAAAATATTAACAAAAAATGTTTAGGCAATACCTGACAGCTAATAATTATTGTGAAACATACAGGGTATCAACCTATATAATTATTATAATCAAATACATCATAGCAAATACAAAGAAATGGGTATATGTAATAAAAATACAACAAACACTATCATTAGTATTCGTTTATACGTATCGATGCATAGATTTCCGGAGAATGTAATTCAATGTTCTGTGTGGCATTAGCCAAGAAAGTAGAGGTTTTTTTCGTCATCAACCATTGTTCGTCATTTTATGAACATTTGTGGAAATTTCTTCGAGCTTTTTCGTAATTATTCATTTCAATCCATACCATTTGGGCATTCCGACTATTTCATAGTTGAAATATTTTCGTTATTGTGGAGTTTTCGGTTCCTCCGGAATTGACGTCACCTTTGATATTACCTATAGGACACCCTGTAGGATACAACATTCCTATAGTGATTGATTTTGGTTCAGATTTGTTCGACCGTTCTGGAGTTATTCAAGTTCTTCTAGGAAAATTCACAAATACAGCCTATCGAACATCAGAATATTGCTTAATGAGCAGGGAACGATACTTTTATTTGAATCATTCGAGTGGTAAATCAGCATTCCGTGCGAGTTATACAATATACTTTTTGTACGGCTGTAATAGATGATAGCGAGAATTTATATTTCTTCGACTTATAGCCTTCTGATTCTCTCTCAAGTAATGCTCTTTTAGACTTAGCTGTATTTTATAGGGGTTAATATTTATTGTAAATAATAACACAACGAATTCATTGTGTTATCAGATGAGGAAATGAAATTGAAGATATTCAATGTTCCTCGATGATTTATCGATAACAGTTGAACAGGTGCAATTCTGTGTTATGGCCGTAGAGAATAGTACATTGTTCAACGAGCACGGAATGATAGTCATTTTCCACGAGAATGATGTTTCACCTACGGCTCATCATCAATCATACGAGTGAGAAATTAGCATTACGTGCGAGTTATACACTAGACATTTTCTTCTGCTGCAAAATATAATAGCAAAGTTTTTCATTTCTTCGGCTTGTAGTCATCTGATTTTCTCTCGAGTAATGCGCTCATCTATTAGACAAGGCTGTCATTGCTTGTAGTTTGACGACATTTCATGAGAGATAAGATTTCGTGGAATAATAACACAATGAAGTCATTATGATATCATATACGGAAATAAAACTGATGACATACAAAGTATCCCATTGATTTTTTTTTATGTTCTGGTTCCCACGAAAAGGGATATCCTGTAATGTTCAGAGAACATCGTGAGAACCAAGGGAAATGAAGTGAAACAAGAGCAATTTTGTGTTATAGCCGTAGAAAAACGCTATTTTCATATTATTAAGAATTACAATATCAATAGTATATTATGTAACAAGTGTTATATAAACGTCCTTTTAGTAACGAGTATTTTAAGCACGAGCGGAGCAGAGCGGAGCGAGTGTTCAATAAACGAGTGTCTAGAAGAGTTTATAAACGCGTTACATACTATGCTTTTTCTACGAACTCCGAAAAATTACATTGACATACCTGCTATTGCTGCTAACCTACAAAACAATTCGAAAGGAATGGGAATGGAGAACATAATACATGCAACTGCAGGCAACCAAAAGTGATATTGGTTGTAGTAAGTCCAGTCCATTGCTTACTAACCTTTGTTTCACGTTTATTGTCATGCTTAGCGCAGAATAAATAAATTGTTCTCAAAGATGGATGCTTCATTTTTACACTCCTTGGAGATATGCAAGTACCAAAACATTCTCTCTCATTGTTTGAATAATTCTGATACAAAATTTGAAAATAACAGTTGACACTCAATTCAATTGATAGGCCAGATATGTCTCAAATTCCTGAAGCTGTGTTTAATGAACTGTGTTGTCATGGTAATGTGTTTAAGAAATCGTGTTGCCATGATAACGTGTTTAATATTTTGAATAAATCACACATCGGCAATCCGTGATTAATCGATCATTTAGCGTGGTACATATCCGTACGCTAAATGCCATTTTAGTTTGGTGAGTAGAAAGAATTATAAATCTTAAAGATTGGGTAGACACCCTGATTCACAGGGTGTCCAGAGAAGTGGGTGCAGAAAGTGAATGTGAAACATCGAAAATCATGTACCGAGTGAGTTTTTTTAGATCCTCGCCCGAGGGCCTTTGGCCCGAGGGATGAATGCTGCCCGATGGGCGTTAGGTTCTAGTAACGCTCGTAGTGCAAACAAGATTTTCTTCTCCACGAAAAAAAATATCTCATTATGATAAATAATCGATTTTGAATAGCGGTTCATTGTTCTTCTCATGGTAAAGCATTGCATTTGTTGGTATTTTGACGTTTGTTGAATATTGCTGTCATCATTTGATTCAATGGATGTAATTGTCGGGGAAATCCAGACTCGTGCAAAAACGACAAGGATTATAGTACTTTCAAGAATTGGTATGTAATTTCATGAACTACAAGAAAAAACAATTAGCGGGTATTATGATTCATAATGCCCTCTTTAACGCCCTGGGCGTTATGGATCTGTTAATAGCAACCGTTGCCAGGGTATTAAGAAGCAGTAATGGACAAGTGAAAAGTAAACTCTACTTCAGATTCCCAAGAAAAAGTGCCGCCAGACATTCCACCCGTTGAGAGTCGAATGCCCGAAATCGTCTTTCGTCAACGCACTATCAGACGAATTTTGCTTGGTCTCAAAACGAATAAGGCTAACGGTCCTGATGGAATTCCACCCATCATCTTCAAAATATGTGCACCAGAATTAACACTGATTCTCTGCAAGTTGTTTACCGTCTCGTACAGGTCGGGTATTTTCCTATCATGCTGGAAGACAGCTAGAGTCCAACCAATCCCCCAAAAAGGGAACAAGAACCTGCCCAATAACTACAGACCCATTGCCTTGTTATCAGTAATATCCAAAGTGATGGAGAAAGCCATCAATATTGAGCTTATCAAATATCTAGAGAGCTCAGGAATCATCAATGATAGACAATACGGCTTTCGCCACCGAAGATCTACGACTGGAGATCTACTTGCCTACGTCACCCATTTATGGCAAGCTTCATCGGAAAAAGACGGGGAATCTCTATCTGTCGCGTTGTACATATCGAAAGCATTCGACCGTGTTTGGCACAAAGGACTCCTCCACAAACTACCATCATACGGCTTACCACCTCAGCTATGCCATCTCTTATCGAGTTTCGTTTCAGGCAGATCGCTTCACGTGGTGGTGTACGGTGTATCGTCTGATACCATTGGCATCAATTCCGGCGTTCCACAAGGATCAATTTTGGCACCAACATTATTCCTTCTTCATATCAATGATCTGTTGGAAGTAACAACCTTCCCCATCCACAGCTTTGCAGATGATAGTTCCCTCCATACTGAGTTCTCTTCCAGCATCCCCATTTATTCCCAGGATACTAAGAACTCACGGTGCAGGCAGGTCAATGCTGACAATGAAGACCTTGCTGAAATCACAGCCTGGGGAACCAACAACCTAGTTGAATTCAACGCCACCAGAACTCAAGCCTGTATTTTCTCTAGAAAGGCAGACCTCAGTATGCCCGATATTGTAATGTCTGGCACCACCATCCCCATCAAGCCCACCATATCTATGCTCGGTATTTCCATCAGCAACACTCTGGGATAATCATGTCAGATCCATCGCAAAACCCGCTTCACAAAGACTCGGATTCTTGTTCCGTGCGAGAAGCTACTTTACACCTCAACAGCTTCTCATGATCTACAAAGCGCAGATACTGCCTGTTCTAGAATACTGTTCCCACCAAAACATACGCTGATGCTCTTAGATTCCATCCAGAGAAGAGCCACACTAACTCACTCTTTGACATCATTGGAACACCGTAGAAAGGTCGGCGACCTTTCACTGTTCTATCGATACTTCCACGGGAAATGTTCTTTGGAAATCTCTACTATCATCCCTTTACTAGCAATACCAGTCAGACGAACTAGACAAGCCCAGTCAGCACATCCTTTCGTTGTCAACCTCGGAAGATGTCGATTAGCACTTCATCCATAGAACGGCTAGGCTCTGGAATTCATTGCCTGAGGAATTATTGCGAACAACATATTATAATCTCCAGAAGTTCAAACAAAATTCCAATACCTACCTTCTGTCCCTATCCTCCCTAGGAACGCACGATGTTCTTTGAACATCATAGGGATTTCCTTTCGTGCACTCCAAGGGATAAAAATTATTTTTTCTTCAAATGCCCATTTATTTATGAAATAGAGATTCATCAACCGCGAAAGTGCAATATGGATCGTGTTGGGTAATACAATGAAGAATTCGTTTATGTAGGTACTAGTGATTGAAAGCGAATATAAAGAAACTAAATCCTGATTATACAGGGTGACATTTTGAAGACTTCTCACCCTCTGTATGTTCCTTCCAGTAAATAATATGAAAAATCAAGAAGACAGGACAATTTTATTCTCAAGGGGACACTTGAAATGAATATTTTTAGCCCTCTTGATTCAACCCGTTAGGAGGGGTAGATGTTACTTTCAGAATCTTAAATGGGAAGGGGAGTCAAGTGGCACATCATTTTGAAGGGCGTTGAATTTTCTTTCCAACGGTACTCTAGTTTATCATTTTCTGTTGAGCAATTTCCGGAAAATGCCACCCTTGATATCTTCTTTCCAGTAAATAAAATGAAAAATCGAAAAGATAGGTCAATTTCAATGTCAAGCCCTCTGGGTTTGACCCCCTTCCTAAGAAGGGTAGATGTTACCCTTAGAACCAGATATGAAATGGGCGTCAAGATGCACATTATTTTAAAGGGCGTTAAATTCTCTTTCCAACAGAAGGTACCCTAGTTTATGACATTTTGATGATCAGTTTCCGAAAAATGCCGTTCTAAACTTACAGAAGTAATTGGAACATGCCTGAACTGAAATGCATTCAAAATTTTCCTTCCATTTCGACTGAAAGTGTCAATACAATAAAACCAACCTGAAAACCATGCATATCAGTCGAGATATCAGTGCAGGCATGTTCTAATAACTTCTGAAAGTTCAAAACGACATTTTTCGGAAACTGCCTATCATAAAATGCAAAATTAGGGTATTGTTGAAAAAAGACTTCAGCGCCCTTCGAAATGATGTGCATCTTGACCTCCCTTTTCATATGAGGTTCTAAGGTTAACATCTACCCCTCCTAGGGGGTTGAACTAACAGGGCTGAAAATATGCATTTCAAGTGTCTTCCTCAGAAATCGAATTGACGAGTCTTTTCAATTTTTCATATAATTTACTGAAAGGAAGATATTATCGGGAGGGAAGTTTTCTAATAAGTGACACATTTTTCGGAAACTGCTCGACAGAAAATTAGGGTACCGTTGGAAAGAAAATTGAACGCCGTTTCAATAATTTCAAGTGTCCCCCTTGAAAATTAAATCGAACTGTTTTTTAGATTTCTCATATTATTCACTGCAAGGAAGTTGAGGGTGGTAAATTTTCAAAATGTCAGCCTGTTTCATATCCAACACGATCCATTTTGCACTTTTGCATATGATGAATCTGACATGAAACAACATCAAAACTGTTGTAAATAAAATACAGTGTCCTATTGAAAATAACGAAGATGACATCACTTCTGCTTCATAATCGCGATAATATCTTGATCGGATTCTACATGTTTCCTTCACCGTTGCTAATACAAATTCTCATATTAATAAGCTTATTTCAGTTTTCTCATATAGATCACGTTAACTCCTAAAGATATACCCTGTATTCCTATTCAGTGGATTTTAATCAACTCAATTTGTATCAAATAATGAAAACTAATATACTCAATAACGGTGGCTATTTTTTTCATCATTACACGATACACAACAAGTTCCCATTGGGTGGGTTAGTGGCAGTTGTATGATATACAGAAAGTCTGAGCAACGGGACTATGCAGCGTTTCCACTGTTCAACAAATTGATTGATTGATTTATTCCCTTAGGGATTACCCGGAGTGGAAGGTCCCATGGGGCCAAGAGGACCTCCTGGTGAACGTGGAAGTGCCGGACGTGATGGTATAGATGGACGTCCAGGTATTCCAGGTATCAAAGGAGAACGGGGTGATTCTGGTATACCAGGCGAACAAGGATTTCCTGGACCACCAGTGAGATTTTTAATTGATTCTATTGATTTTCATTTGCCCTATTTTCTCCTATTATTGAAAGCCAGGCAAAAAAGCAGTTATGATTCTGACTGATCTGACATAATATACAGGGTGTCCTTAAAAGGTCTTTACAAAAAGCTACCACATATTCTTCAGACCAAAACAATTCGATACAAGCAAACTTACCTCAGTAAAAAGTTGCTTAGTTTGGGCGCTAGACGGCTCTGATGTTGAAATTTTCAAATCGATTTTGCTTCATAACTTTTGAACGGCTCATGAGATTTTTTTCAAATTTGGTACGTTGGCATAGACTCATCGGGCAATGAAACTCATATCATAATCATAATGAATATCATTCCATGGGCGTAGAACTTGATTTTTTCAGGAAATAAACATCTAAAACTCCTACGCCAATGGAAAAAAATTAGTTTCAATATGAAATCTAAATTATTCAACTCATTCACTACAAAAAAGGTACTCTTGACAAAAGTCGATTCCTCTCATGGTTTCGACAAAATTTTAATTTTAGTGATTTAGAGCATAATTAATAATAAAACGATTAACAGATATTTCATAAAAATTGTTCAAAATGTTCACCATTTTCACGTATACAAAGATTTATACGACGCAAAAAGTTGAAATGTATTCTTTGCATAACTTCTTCATCGCCTGTAAGATTATTCGTCGCCTGTTGGATACGTTGCCATAATTGTTCTACAGTATTCGCAGGGGTCTTGTAAACCGTAGACTTGAGATAACCCCATACGAAATAATCCATCGGTGTTAAGTCTGGAGAACGTGGTGGCCAATTCACGGGTGCATCATTACCTCTACCTATCCATCTGTCTGGGTACTGTTGGTTTAAAAAATTCCTAACATCCACCGAAAAATGTGGTGGAGCTCCATCGTGCATAAACCACATATCTACCCGATGTTGGAGTGGTAAATCTTCCAACAAATTTGGCAACGTATTTCGTAGATGTTGTAAATACATGTCTCCTGTTAATCTTTGTGGAAGTATGACAGGACCAATTATAAAATTTCCTATTATTCCAGCCCAAACGTTGATTTTGAATTCGTGTTGAAAATGGTTTATTTTAATGGAATGAGGATTTTCAATTGCATAAACGTGTTCATTATGAAAATTAGTTATTCCTCTTCTCGTGAAACAGGCTTCATCAGTGAACAAAATATTCTTTCCAAAGTTCAGATTCATTTCTCTTTGCAAATTAATGAACCTACAAAACATCAGACGACTTTGTGAATCATGGATTAATAAATCTTGAACTGGCGTCTTGTGGTATGGGTATAATAATTGTTCTCTTAGTACTTCATGAACGGCATTCCTAGAAACTTCTAGTTCATTACTTATCCGTCTAGTACTCAATTCTGGATTTTCTTCAATACGGTCAAAAATTTCTACTTCGACTTCGGGAATCCTTACATAACGCTGTCTTCCATAATCACCAGTTCTAGGAGCAAAATGACCGGTCTCCCGAAGACGTCTCTCAACTGCAGCAAAGGTTGGGTGGCTTGGTACGCGACGATTTGGAAACCTTGCCGAATACACCCTCACACTCTCTCGACCATTTCCTTGACAATATCCGAATACCAATAACATATCGGTGTATTCTTCATTGGTGTATTGTACGGCCATGATAAATCAGAAAAGTCCGATATCAACAATCAACGTCAATAAAACTCGACAAATCAACACAGATGAAACTATGGAAACCAAGAATGTGAATATCACTGTTTTCGAGCAGATAATAATAGTCTTCAGAAAAAAAAACCAGTGCTACTTATTTTCAATAGAAATAACCTATGCAAAAAGTACATCTCAACTTTTTGCGTTGTATAAATCTTTGTATACGTGAAAATGGTGAACATTTTGAACAATTTTTATGAAATATCTGTTAATCGTTTTATTATTGATTATGCTCTTAATCACTGAAATTAAAATTTTGTCGAAACCATTCGACCATTTGTCAAGAGTACCTTTTTTGTAGTGAATGAGTTGAACAATCTAGATTTCATATTGAAACTAACTTTTTCCATTGGCGTAGGAGTTTTAGATGTTTATTTACTGAAAAAAGCAAGTTCTACGCCCATGGAATGATATTCATTATGATTAGGATTTCAACTTTTTGCGTCGTATAAATCTTTGTTCACGCGAAAATAGTGAACATTTTGGAAAACTTTCATGCAATATCTATCAATCGTTTTATTATTTAAATATGCGCGAAATCACTAAAACTTAAATATTGTCGAAACCATCAGAGTAATCGAATTTTATCAAGAGTACCTTTTTTGTAGTGAATGATTTGGGCTATCTAGATGTCATACTGAAACTGATTTTTTTTCATTGGCGTAGAAGTTTTAGATGTTTATTTCCTGAAAAAATCAAGTTCTACGCCCATGGAATGATATTCATTATGATTATGATATGAGTTTCATTGCCCGATGAGTCTATGCCAACGTACCAAATTTGAAAAAAATCTCATGAGCCGTTCCAAAGTTATGAAGCAAAATCGATTTGAAAATTTCAACTTCAGAGCCGTCTAGCGCCCAAACTAAGCAACTTTTTACTGAGGTAAGTTTGCTTGTATCGAATTGTTTTGGTCTGAAGAATATGTGGTAGCTTTTTGTAAAGACCTTTTGAGGACACCCTGTATAGTGGAATATATTTTGTTACTATGAGCTAATGAAAATAGCAGCAAAGTCAAAAGTCATTCATGGTTATATTCTCTGCAAACTTTGATGGATTTTATGGACGAAGATATCTTGTTACGAGGCTGATGACAATAGCAGCATAGAGGCGAAGAGTTGAGAGTCATGAATGGTTACAGTTTCTGAAAGTAAAATTTTGAAATATGCCTATAAAAATCACTGAATACAACAATGAAACTGAATTGAAATGCTAATCAGATAAACCGCAACGAACTGAAGTCAACATTAAATCGTATCAGATTACTGATTGAAAAACATGATGACATTTAACAGGGTGAGAAATAAATTCCTACAAATAAACTTTTGGTATATTCCTCATGGTTTTTACATAATGTTCATGATGTTCTCATCTCTCTAAATATTATATAAAATTTCAGAAAAAACTAATATTTTCTAAAAGTTCATTTTCAACCACCAAAAACATATTATTTCGTTGTTACGAGCGATTTTCTCGGTAATGAGCAGTTGGAACCTCCACCTCCATATGGAACATTGGCTTTTCATATTTGAAATTTGTGGAAATATTGGAAATCACTCGAGATAGAATAATGATTTCATGAGTAACTTCAAGATGGTGGAACACAAAACATTGATCACCTGAACAGAGTATTTATGTCTTCTCAAGGTTGAATGACATACATTATCTTGTACTGGAAGTTCTACCGAATACATGAAAACGATCATACAGGGTGATACACGAACAAGTTCCTTGTAACTCTCATTCTATTCAATCAACTTATGTGAACCATCTGAATTGACTTTTAAATTATCATAATTGGCATTTTGTTCAATTCGGAATATGCAGTGATACACAATAATCGTTTCAATGTTGTTTGTCTTATTAAGTTCTGATTGTTTCATCGATTTTAGTCAATAGATGTTTGTTCGTTTATTTGTTCACTACTCTTTGAGTGCATAATTTCCAATCAGAAATATCAGCGGGTATTTCTGTATCTACTTTATACATCGAACAACACTATTTTGAAATACGAAAATTTCGAAAAACATTGTTTTCCAACAAATTGAAAATATAAGAAGGGAATTGAAAAACTATTTCATAAGTAGATTTATTTTGTTCTTTACCCTGTATAACCAAATGAAGCCATGATTTTCAATGGCAATCTAGTAATTATACAAAAAAAGAGTGATTCAATCAATTGAGTTTCTTTTGGGAATGAATGGACAGACTCTTCGCAAAAATTCAATCACTTTGTGGTATTACTGTTGATGATTTCTGATGGTATAAAACTTCCGTTGTATTTTGTTAGGGTCCACCGGGTTTGATCAATAGAGATCAAACAAGTGATGGAAAGGAAGTGTCAAATCAACCAGGTCCTCAAGGGCTGCCTGGTATCCCAGGAATACCGGGAACACCTGGTTTGAAGGGATCCAAAGGTGATAAGGGCGACACAGGAGAGGAAGGGCAAAAAGGAGATAGAGGTTTGAATGGGAAAATCCAAGAAGGCAAAATTCTCATTCGAAATGTCATTCTTAGGAGAAATTGGACTTCCTGGAATATCTGGCTTGGACGGTGCCAGGGGACCTCCAGGAAGAGAGGGCCATCCAGGACCTGAGGGACCTAAAGGTGAATTGGGATTCATAGGGGCTCCAGGACTTCAAGGACCCCCTGGTCTTGTAGGATCACCCGTGAGTTGAAAATTTAATTTCCGTTCCATTGGTCGTTACTTCTTATTTTTCGAATCATCCTATCTGAAAGCATATGTGCATTTTTTTTTAATTTCTGCCAGAGATTGAACTTAGGTCAATGTGGGTAACTGGGACTCAATTTTACAACAATTCAGATTCAGAGGCTCATCACAATCTTAGTTATTATCATGATGAGTCGAAATTTACGATATCAATATTTATTTTTCAAATGTTGATAGGGCCCAGCTTCCCAGAGAATTGAGATTTTATCTTGAAAATTTTACATGGAACGGAATTTTGGTTCGGGAGATGTTTTGTTTTGTGGGAAAACATGTTTTTGATGTCTCAACATTTCATTATGAAAAAAAAACAAATATAAAATCGATTAAAATTCCCAAAAATATACCTTTGAGAGGTAAATGCATCAGCATGAAACAAACCGCAATCAACAGCCTCTCATTCGTTTGAGAACGTATATTCCCTTGTATAGAAATATGTGCTCAGTAAATGAAGTTTTCATCAGTAGAATTCATTGAACATTTTTCGACTCTCTCTTTCCCCTGATTGCACACCACATCTAGTGTTCCACGTGTTCCATTCAAATACTGTCTCAAGGTACACTTCATACAGCATTTTCCATATCCTCCCCACATAGTTCCTTCCCTGAAAATTCAAACATTCGTTCGATGATCTGTTCAGCTGACTTTGCATAAACTTTACAAACATGCTCCCAGTGATGTAGAGTTGGTTGCAGCTTTCCTCTAGTTTATAAGAAGGCATGGTCTAAATACCTCGGAGGCCCTGTTACCCACATTGACCTGATATTGTTTCAATATCATCTTCATACGCTCATAATATACAAAGTGACTCATCTGCAAGCGGTTCCTAAAATTGGAGCAATAAATTGAATTAGGTGTTGTATTAGATATAACGACACAATAAATCGTAAGAAAAACTTTGAACCTCGAGTTCGACAATTATCCTCTGATGAATGATTTACTCAAACCACAGGCGAACACAATTTTTCTTAGACAAAAATGTACTCATTCATGAGATGGCAGCAGAAGTGGGAAATATCCCAGCTTCTCCTTTGACATCGATACATGTGGTAGTAGGCTGTAGAAATACTATTGAGTTGTTTCGTTTTCGAAGACATGCATCAGTTTTGTCAGGAATAAAAGAAATGTGAAACTTTTTCTGAAAGTAATCAGTGATTGATGCGCTTGTTGAGCTATGAAGTTGTAGCTATCAAGAGAGATAGCTGCCTGAGTTTTCCTCTACTCTTCTCTCCTAAAATGTCACGCAAATTTCTTCCTACATTCTCGATATTTTCTTTAGAAAAGGAAACATTATTTTGATGTTTAATATCAGCATTTCATAACATTAATGAAAATCAAACAAATATTGAATAATTCCATAACCATAACCATACATGTTTTCCACTCACAAGTATCTGATTTGAACAGGGTCCAAGTGGTTCTCCAGGCATACCAGGTACACCAGGTGCAAAAGGAGATGCAGGTGAGCAGGGAACTCCTGGATTGCCTGGATCAGCAGCAGCCGCCGGATTGCGAGGCTATCCAGGTCCTCCGGGAGAGTCAGGGAGCAAGGGAAATCAGGGTGAGAAGGGGGAACATGGATTCCCAGGATTACCTGGTCCACCTGGCTTAACTGGCCTAGATGGACGGCAGGGTCCTGAAGGATTACCAGGAAAAGATGGTGAACAGGTGAGGAACGCTTGTTACCTAATAGTCGAAAATGTATTGACGTTTCACGGACATAGGGAATAATAACAATAATAATCACTTCATTCTGAAATGAAACATACATAACTTAATCAACAGGTATCTAATAAAAATGAAATTGAATAAAATTGTTATACTTTGAGTGCCGTTGCACTTGTTTTGTGAAAAGTAGATGAGATTAAATGTAACTGGAAATGAATGAAATGTAGTGAGTTTACAGAAAAAACTGGATGTAATACAAAAGCACAAAAGTAATGAGAATATAATATAAATATTAGAAAGGTTGAATACGAAGAACACATTAGCATGATATGGGAGGTTGAGTTCGAAAATCTATAGTACCAATGTCTGGCTTTTAAAATAACTCGAGATCATATATTTTGGATAAGAGAGAATGAACTCTTTCAATGATCTGTCAAATATTTTTTCATTTGTAATATGTATTTCTTATGGTTTCTGGTATGACATATTGTATAGTTTTGGTGCAAAAAAAAGAGTACGATCAATGTGGAACCGTACTCAACATCAATGGTGTAACATAATGATGATTCGGCCGAGTAGCATGAACATGACGTGGAAGTTGTGATTGATTTCAATTGATGTAGTATTCACTTCTCGATTTATTGGGTGGTAGCTCAGTAAAACGGTAACGATTAGGACCCAATCCGGGAAAAAATTCAAGTACTCGGTTTCTCTATGGTATTCATGTTATTGGAGGTGCTGAATTCGAATCTGAATTTTGCAAACAAAATTTCTTGGAGCGTTCCGAGATATTAGCAAAAAACAGCGAAATTTTCGCATTTCTTTCGTGTTTTTACCCGTAACTCGGAAATCATACATTATATCGAAAAGACCGCCATATAAAAAGTTGAAGCAGATATAATTTCATATATAAAATTGTTCCTGCTCATGAATGTAGGACTGTAGGGTGCGGATATAGAGCCAGTTGAAAATTGTCCAAATTTGCGTACTCTTCAAAGAATAGCGTTTCTCGTCGGTATTCGCAGATAATTCATATTTCACGTATTACTCAGAGACAGAGCATCATGCACATATTGAAAGAGCATCAAATGTCCTATAGAGCTCATGTAAATTTCGTCATTATGAAAAAAAGATGAACGGCTGTTAGAGCGCTTGGACTTGGAGACGTCTTTTAGTCGTAGTTGCCACACTCATGTTCATCATTTCAACTCATATGATTTGGATCATATAAACCCATATTCATTGAAGCTTGAAAACGTCGTAGAAATAGGTCTGTTAAGGCGCTTCACCCTATAGAAGAATTCACCCTGTGAAGATTTCGACGTATATCACAAAAAATTGATCGTATTTTGTTGTTGTCACGAATTCAATTATTAATATTGTAATTAGTTACGAAATAAAAATAGAAAACCTGATCTAGAAATTTCGTGAAAGAATATATTGAAATACAGTCCATTATTAATTCAAAAAGTGTTAAATCAAAAACATTGGACCTTCGAGCCGGATTGCCGGTATAGAATAAAATATTGGAATTTGGAAATCTCATCTACTCATCAACAAAAATAGAAGTTCTACATCTTTGAAGCTGAAATATTGTGTAGGACAAGGAGGATATACTATAGTAGAGGTGAGCAGGTGTCGGTTTCATAAATAAAGTAAACTCCTATCTTGTATCGTTTTGTGGAATAGAGATATTCAGTGTAGCCATATTTGAGATAGCACACTATTATGACCTCAAAGTTTAAAAGATTGGTTAGTAAAAGAGAGATAATTAACGGTCAACTTGGTCGTTTCAAGATATTTCATGATGAAGTTATAGAATCTGGTGAAATTAATGATAGAGCATTAGTTCGTCTTAACTCTAGATTAGAACAGGTGCAACCATTGTGGCATGACTTTCAAGAAATACAATCAGAAATTGAATCATTGAGTGAAAATTTAGTTGCAGAGAATTTAGAAAGGGAACATTTTGAATCTACTTACCTTGATGTCAAAGCGGATTTTCAATTCACCATTGATAATTATAATAAATCCAAGGAAAGGCAATTGAACAATTTGGAACAAAACACCGATATCCAGTTGGATCAGAATATATCGATGAACTCAAATTCAAATAATGTAGGATCACATTCATCTAGAAATCAACATTTATTGAATGTGAAGCTTCCAGATATCAAACTACCAAATTTTAATGGAGATTATGATAAATGGATTGAGTTTCATGACAGTTTCTTGTCAATGATTCACAATGACAACCGTTTAGATAATGTCAGGAAGTTTCACTATTTGAAGTCTTGTTTAACAGATGAAGCAAGAGATTGTATCAAATCAATTCCTATATCGAGTGATAATTATTTATCTGCATTCGAAATACTCAAAGAAAGATATGAGAATAAGGAACTTTTGATCAATAATCATATCAAAGCTTTGTTCAATCTGCCATTAGTCGAGAAAGAGTCTCATATCGCTTTGAGAAATTTGCTGAGCTCTGCTTTGAAACATTTGCGATGTTTAGAAAGTCTGGGAGAACCCATTAAACAATGGGATCGTATATTAATAGAATTTATTTTGAATAAAATTGATCTTATTACAAAACGTGAATGGAAAGAATATTTGAAGAATCAGAATAAAGCTTTAACATTCGATAATCTTATAATATTTCTGAAGGAGAAATGCGATTTATTAGAGTCATTAGAAGATACTTCACAGAATTCTTTGCACGAAAAGTATTAAAAATCAGTTCATCAAATAAAGTGTCATACAACATCAGTTGTCCATAATTGCCCATTATGCAAGGAATCACATTTGATTTATAATTGTATGAAATTTTTGAATCTTTCAACGAATGACCGTATTGGAGAGATTAAAAAACTGAAATTATGTATAAATTGTTTGAAAAAAGGTCATTTCGTGAGTGAATGCTATGCTAGAAAGTGTGTTAAATGTGGATCAAAGCATAAAGTTCTTTTGCATATTCAAAATCAAAATGATTTCAAACATAGAACTGCTACAAATTCTTTGAATGTCACTTCTTCTGAAGAATCAAAAAATGTGCCTTCGAATACAGAGGAAGATGTCCAATGTGAAGTATCCTTGGCTAGTCAACAACAACAGCGATTATTCAAGTTGAAGATAGTTATGGTAAGTGGCAAAATTGCAGATGTCTTTTAGATTGTGGTTCACAATCAAATTTCATCACAGAAAAATGTTGTGACCGATTAGGCCTTAGTAAATATTTCACTAATTTTGTTGTATCTGGAATAAGTCAAAAAGTTTCCAATATAAATTATAAAACGATTATTAATGTTCAATCACTGAAGAACTCATTTTCTGTTGAAATAACTTGCTTAGTTCTATCGAAAATAACTGGTAATCTTCCTACGGTTCCTTTCATGTCAGAAATATTGAATATTCCTTCAAACATTCGCTTGGCCGACCCCAGTTTCAATAAATCTCTAGAGATCGATATTTTGATAGGTGCAAATATATTTTGGAAGTTACTTTGTGTCGGACAAGTACAATTAGGTGACAATATGCCTACGCTTCAAAATACATATTTTGGTTGGATAATATCTGGTCCTCTTCCTCTTAAGAACACTTATGACAATATTCAATATTCAGTTGACAATAATTGTACCGATTCGTCAGAAAGGTCTTTAGAAGACATGATATCTAGATTTTGGAGTATTGAGGAATGTTCGAATCTACCAGTGAAACTTTTATCTCAAGATAGATAGATAAGGATACAGAGACACATTTTTTGAAAACTCATAAACGCAATTCGGAAGGAAGATTCATTGTGAGTATACCTTGGAAAAATAATATTGTGAATTTGGGAGAATCTCGGTCAATTGCTTTGAAGAGATTCTATTATATTGAAAGAAAACTAATACAAAACAAAGAATTACAGGATGAATATATAAAATTTATGGAAAAATATAAGAGTATGAATCATATGAATGAAATAATTGAAACGAAACATTTGAATTCTGGCCCATTATATTATTTTCCACATCATGCTGTAGTACGTCCTAGTAGTCTCACAACAAAGGTTCGGGTAGTATTTGATGGTTCAAGTAAAACTAGTACTGGTCTTTCCTTAAATGACGTGCAGATGACTGGCCCACCATTACAAAATGATTTATTGTCTATTCTGCTCAATTTTCGTAAACATAATTATGTACATGTACAGACAAATTCTCATAGATTTATCAGACAGGGAGTTTCATAGAATATTTTGGAGGAAAAATCCAACTGAAAATGTATCTTGTTATACTCTGAACACTGTTACATATGGAACTTCATCTGAACCTTTTTTATCTATTCGTTGTATCAAATAATTAGCTTTTGAAAATAAAAATCAATATCCTGAGGCATGTAGAATTATTGAAAATGATTTTTATGTGGATGATCTTTTAACTGGATCTGATACCATAGAAGGTGCTCGAAAAATACAGGATGAAGTTTCATTTGTACTGAATAAGGGCTGTTTTCCTTTGAGAAAATGGCTTTCAAACGAGCCAGCAATTTTCGATGGCTTAGAAATATGTAAAGAAGAGCATGGTATTTTGCACATTTCTGATAGTGACCAAGGAAATAAAACCTTAGGTATTCTTTGGCGCTCGAAAACAGATACCTTAGGATATTCAATAAAATCTTTCGAAAATCAAGCAAAAATTACAAAAAGAAATATTGTTTCTATAACTGCTCAAATTTTTGACCCCCTTGGGCTCCTGAGCCCAATAACAGTACTTGCAAAAATGATAATTCAAAAATTGTGGCAATCTAAGTTGTCTTGGGACGAAGGAGTTCCTTTGTTTATAAATCAAAAATGGTTAGAACTACGAAGTCAGTTCAAAGAGCTTAATAAAATCCAATTGTCAATGAATTCATCGTACTTTGAAATACATGGATTTTCCGATGCATCAGAGACAGCTTTTGGTGCTTGTATTTATGTACGATCCATAGATGCGAGCAACAAGCATTGTAGAGTGGAATTGTTATGTGCCAAATCTAAAGTAGCGCCACTAAAAAAGATAACACTTCCTAGATTAGAATTGTGTGCTGCTACGTTATTAGTTAATTTATGTGAAAAGGTTCGAAACAGCTTGACATTGAATATTATTAAATATTATTATTGGACAGACTCTACAATTGTTTTGGGTTGGATTAGAAAGCCACCTCAAGAATTGAAAACATTTGTTTCAAACCGTGTTGCTCAAATTTTGCATTTTTCTGAAATTGAAAGTTGGAATCATGTTAGAAGTAAATTCAATCCTGCTGATTTGATATCGCGGGGTGTACTTCCTGTAAAATTATTAAATAATAAACTTTGGTTTCAAGGTCCAGAATGGTTAATGAAAAATAAAGATGATTGGCCAACACTGAAACCAAATCATATTACCGAAAATTTGCCTGAATTAAAAATGAGAAATGAACTTTCATGTCTAGTAGAAATACTCGATTTTGAATTATTCACGAAGTTTTCTTCACTAAGGCTACTTCAAAGAGTATTTGCCTATATGCTACGATTTATTAATAAAAGTAGAAAATTATCAAAGGAGTGTGAAAAACTTTCAGTTTCAGAATTGAGAAACTCATTATTAATATTGATAAAAATGGCCCAAAGACAATCATTTCATGAAGAGATCAAAACGCTGAAGAACAATAATTCGGTTCATCCAAAGAGCACTCTCTGTATCCTTTCCTCGATGAAAGAGGCAACATTCGAGTAGGTGGAAGATTGCAAAATTCTGATTTTCCTTATGAAAAGAAGCATCCATTGATTTTATCACCTAATCACGTTTTGACTCCTTCATTGCGGACCTCAACAACTATTGAGTTCTGAATATTGGCCTATATCAGGAAGAAATTTTACTACAAAAATTATTCATGATTGTATCATATGTTTCAGAAATAGACCTAGAAATATTCAACCTCTGATGGGATCTTTACCCAAAGAACGTACTAATATGACGTATCCTTTTTTATATACTGGGGTTGATTATTCTGGTCCACATTTGATAAAAGATAGAAAAACTCGAGGTTCCAAATTGAGCAAATGTTACATAGCGGTGTTTGTATGTCTGTGTACAAAAGCCATTCATTTTGAAGTAATCACAGATTTAACGACAGAAAACTTTGTATCGGCTCTTCGGAGATTTTGTTCACGGAGAGGAAAACCTCATACAATACTATCAGATAACGGAACCAATTTCGTAGGTTGTCACAATACATTGGAAGAAATGGAAATATTTTTACGAAGACACAAAAATTCTTTAGTTGAAGAATTCAGTAACGAAGGTATTTCTTGGAAACATATTCCAGCAAGGTCACCTCATTTTGGTGGAATATATGAAGCTGGAGTGAAATCCATGAAATTCCATCTAAAACGTGTCATTGGTAACGCTCATTTAACTTATGAGGAAATAAATGGTGTGTTGACTCAAATTGAGGCTATTCTGAATTCTAGACCGATTTCTCCTTTATCTTCGAATCCAACCGACTTTGATCCTTTAACACCTGCTCATTTTCTGATTGGACGCAAGATCACATCTATTCCTGACCCTGATGTTACACATATTCCTGAGAATCGAACGTCCATTTTTCAAAGACAGCAGCAAATGGTCCAGAATTTTTGGAAGAGATGGAGTCGTGAATATATTGGCGAACTCCAAACGAGAATCAAATGGAAGAAGAATCAGGAAAATCTTCTTCGAATTGGATCGTTGGTGCTTATCAAGGATGAGAAGTTACCAAGCCTGAAATGGTCTATGGGTTGTGTCTGCGAACTTCATCCTGGTCCCGACAACATCGTCCGCGTAGTTAGTATCCAATGTCCGAATGGAGTTATCAAACGTGCAGTTACCAACATATGTTCTCTACCAAATGAGGATTGAAACTTTCCAGTTTCAAGGCGGGCGGCATGTTAAGGCGCTTCACCCTATAGAAGAATTCACCCTGTGAAGATTTCGACGTATATCACAAAAAATTGATCGTATTTTGTTGTTGTCACGAATTCAATTATTAATATTGTAATTAGTTACGAAATAAAAATATAAAACCTGAACTAGAAATTTCGTGAAAGAATATATTGAAATACAGTCCATTATTAATTCAAAAAGTGTTAAATCAAAAACAAGGTCATTGTTTTGTTTTTGTATACTGTGGGATGGGGGACATTTTGATAAAAAACTGATAAACTATTCAAACTATCAAAATATCAAAATTACCTTTTTAGTGATGAATAAGTATTAGAATCAATTCTCGCTCATGTGAGTTCCAGGCGTCAAGGAAACGAGGCAGCTGATCGCCTAGCAAAAAAGTGCAGAGCTCACATTTTTCCTTTCTGTGAGACAAGCCACCCCTTATATTTCCACTGTAGTAGTAATATAACTGGTATGTAGAATGTAGAATGTGGGAATATTAGATCAGGAATTTGATATTCCTCAGTATATGTCTGTCACCCTGTTGAGACAGAACGACTCAGGGATGTTTTGTTTGGGGTGCAGAAATCACGAGCTTGGGGGTTGGATCGAGCTTTATTTCCCCTATGTCGGGTTACTTACAGAGCTTTGGCATAAACCAGTACTGAAATTAATAAGCCGCGTCACTAAGTGTGAAAAATAGTACTTTGGAGGATCTCAAAAAATAACCTAACCGCCTCAGAAAGAGGGAACATTTAATATCAAAGTTCTTACCTGAAATTAATAACACCAGGTACACTAATTAATCACAAAATGTAGTAACAAATTAGACCAATTCGGTAACCAACAGGGCTGCTATATGCAACTTCAGCACTGATAAAAACGAAACTGAAATAGTTCGAGAATTAAAGCGATATCCAACCGGCCTTTAGCAATTAGAACAAAAACTGGGCCTAGAAGACCAAAAAACCGCTACCTAAATATACGATACGGCCTGAAATTGAACATACAGGGCGAACGACAGCGTATTCCGCTTCACTGTATTAGGGATGATGATATCCATGAATAATATAAAACATTTGAATATTATGATTAATAAATGAAAAGATAAGAAGTATATTGAAATTATTCCAGAATTTGAATATAAAGTTGTTACAAATATGGCGCAGTCGGTAGGATATGCTGAATAATGGAATCATAAGAACATCATCTTCACCTTATTCTTCACCATTTGTTATAAAAACAAAAAGTGATGGCAGTTTTCGGTTATATCATTGATAAATAGAAACGGAAATGGATCCAATTCAGTTTGCTCATTCACTTGTCTATAGTCAATACATAATCGAAAACTGCCATCACTTTTGGTTTTTATAACACATGGTGAAGAATAAGGTGAAGATGATGTTCTTATGATTCCATTATTCAGCATATCCTTCATTTTTTCTCGTATCCATATTTGTTTACTTTGTGAAAAACGGTATGGCTTCAATTTAACTATCTTAGCATCATCTTTTAACTTGAAATCAGTTTCGTAACTAGATGGTTTATTATCGAGGTCGCCCAGTATATTTGGAAAATTCCTAACCAATGTGTTTTCTGTAAAACATGTTCGTTCATACTCTTTGGATTTAGCTCAACAGAAATAATGAATTTATCTCTGAATTCAGAATAGTCAGACACCATCAATATTTCTTCTACCTGATTAGCATGTATAGTCTTAGATTTAGCTTTCATACATACATTCTTCAAATGACCTTCACTCTTGCAAAAATCACAGAACAAGTTTTTCTTGTCGCAAAAATTACCTAAATGTTAATTCGGCCCACACCTGTAACAATTTAAATTATTTGAATTCGATTTATTTATTCTTTGATCAGGTATTCTTCTGCTAGTATATCTGGAAGAAAATCCATCAATCTTCTTATTCATCTTGACTTGGTTCACACTGGAGCTTGTATTAGATCTATGCAATTGGGCAGCATCTCTAACTGAAGTATTCATACTGGTGGTAACCTCAATCGCTCTGTCGATAGTCAGATCCTTAACTTCAAGTAATTTGCTCTGTATGCTTTGATATTTGAGCCCAAAAACTAACTGGTTACGTAAAGCCTTTCTCAGATAGTCTCCAAACTTGCATGTAGTTGCTAATTTCCTCAAATCTGTTAGGTAGGTAATCGTTCGCAGACTCACCCTTCTGCTGCTTTCTTTGTAGAAAACGAAAAATCTCTGCAATCTCTAGTGGTTCTGGATTGTAATGGGTCTTCATTATATTCACCAATTCTTCGTAATTCTTCCTATCGGGTGTTTCTGGAGAAATCTTATCGCAAAGGACATCATATGCACTTGGTAGAAGTGATGCTTATATTATCTACTGAGAAAACTAATTTGAAAGCAAGTTGTTGAGGTCTGGTTGATTTTTAAGTGAAATGTTGAAATTTAAACGTTTGTTCATTATTCCAAAATAACGTTCTCTCAAGTTTTTGAAGATCTTTTCTGCTCCATTGATAATAATATTAGTATTATTTCAATATATACTCGTGATGGGAACAAATCAGATTAAACATTCAAATATGTTTTCTTAGTGGGTACTATTTGCATGATCATAATTCTTGATATTCTTTGACATCACGAATTATTTCCGGAATAGGGCCCTCCTGGACTCAGAGGAGAGCCGGGACCAAGGGGACCAGAAGGACCACATGGTCAACCAGGAAAAGAGGGGGTTCCTGGAGTCGCAGGAAAATTAGGGACCAAAGGCGATCGGGGAGAGCAAGGTTTACAAGGACCAATTGGACCTCGAGGATATCCTGGAAATTCTGTGAGTATCACTCTCAAGTAGTTGCAAAGTTATTGAATCTTATGTTTTCATTCACAATCACCAATTTTCTCAATTTGTTCATTATGACAACGGTTCAGAGAACTACATCACAAGAAGGAAACATTCAATAAAAACTATGATATTTTTTCGGCATTTGATGCATTCGTGGTGGAATGACACATAGTTCATCAGGGTAAAATGAAATACAGTATGTCAAACTTATTTAAAGTCGACATCAGTAATGACGACGACGATGCCGCTTGCCTCTATTGTAACTCATTATTCTGGAAATCCAGAAGTAGTTAAATATGGATAGAATGCACCAAATGTGAATACTGGGTCCACTGTGAGTGGGTCCATGCTCCAGCAGGACGTAAAATCTTCATTTGTGAGGATGCCGTTATTATATTCTTATTTTCTATGCTATTTCAATGGATTAGCCTAATTTATTCGAGTAAGTGATTAATCTAACACTCCATAATGTTTTCGACACAAGTATGTCATTTTACCCATTCATTCATTTGGTCATAAGTTTGGAAAACGTTCAATAGGTCGCGTGCAAGTGCACAATGACCTACTCTAAATGTAAAAAATTGAAACACAACTCCACTTTGCTGTGACACATTGAAACACAACCGCACTTTCCTTATTTGTTCACAAAGGAATCAAATGATTGAAATAGTTTTTAACAATATAATACGATTCGTGTTCTTTGTGCAATTCATTAATTCAAGCATGCCATCACATGGTGCTGTTGTGCAATGCACAGAAAAAGCAGCGAGAGATGAAGGAATGTGATTTTTCAGGTAAACAGGGATCTCACATAGTTTTCATTATGGAATTTTGTAATTTTTCATTAGTATTTCTTCTGCTACTTCTGCAATAGATGCTGATACTGCTTATAGTGCTTATAGAGTGGAGATGTCTACAACACACACGATATTATTTCGTCAGCATGTCAGACCGCAGTTCTCCCTTGATTGCATGAATCCAATCTTCCTACCTTCTTTCAAAAACTTGACGAGTATTTTTAAAAGCTTTTATTGTAGAAGAAATTTCAATGACAGATGACAAAATTTCGAAATGGAAACTGGACTATGTGAATCCAAAGTCAATTGGAGCATATCTCGTTCAGTTTGAAGTGAGTGCACGGCGCGCGGCTCGAGACGCTTCAATTATCGACTTTGGATAAACTATAATTCCATATCAAAATGTACCTACCTGAAAAATCGGATTCTTTCGTCTCTCGCTGCATTTTTTGTGTATTGTACAACAGCACAATGTGATGGCATGCTTGAATTAATGATTAGCCAAAAAACAATGGCAATCCTCCGTAAACAAATAAGGAAAGTGAGGTTGTGTTTCAATGCTCTGCCTCCAGGGTCGGTGGTCTGACAGATCTTGCACGCAACCCATATGAATAAAATTTTCGAAATAGACATGCTTTTTGATATGATATCTGAACAGTGATGTGCAAATAGGTGAAATAGAGTAGATATAAAAAATGTTTCTGCTCTCTATTAGCCAAAATGTCATTTGGCAGAACTCCCCTACAGGTTGTCGAAAAATACATATTATTTGAACTGTAAATTTGCACTAAATCACAGGGTGGTTCAAAATTCAGCATTCTGATCACCCTTGTATCTGTTTCAATTGACTGTCATTAGATAGAATATCAATAATGAATAATTTCGACGCAAAAAAATTCTAAAGTTGAAAGATATCGATTTTGAACACCCTATATCTCTGTAATCATTTTCGCTAGACCCCAGTTGTGATGCATTGATGAGATCAGCTCACAAAGGAGAATACGAAAATGCAATGAAATACAGGGTGTCCCATGAAAAAAGTATGACTTTGATACGCCACGCATTTCTGAGTCACCCTGTATGAAACGAAATAATTTTGCTGCTCATAATCCTAGATCATTTCTTGAATTTTTGTTCATCTATCTCAAACAGTAAAGCCGTTATCTCACTTTGCCACACAAATGACTCACCCTGTTTCTCAGGGACCTGCTGGACTCCCTGGAACTGTAGGACCAACAGGCTTGCCAGGCTTCGAAGGAAAGACAGGCCCTCCCGGCCCACCTGGGCCTCCAGGACCGCCGGGGGACAACAGCGATCGAGGTGCGGCCAGTCTTATAGACGCAATGGGGACACCAGGGGTATACGGGCCAAGAGGACATCCCGGAGCACCAGGAATTGTGAGTGAGGGCTATGATAATGATAATGTAACAATGGGATAGTGGACTGGCAGTGAATAATTGGCACTCAATAGGGAAGTTTCATATATTGAGGTTCTTATCTCACTGTGAAGTTTGTAAAAAAATAATATACAGCGTGTCTCACTTTAAACGGCCCCCCTCAATATATCAGTTATTAGACATGCGATTCCAACCAAATTAGGTGTGGTATGGAAAACCAACAATATGATCAGTTTTACAGAGATGAACATCATTTTAGACAGTGTCGTGCGTTTTTATTGAAATAAAAAGGGATCGATATTATTGTTCTTCATGGTTTGAAACCCCCATATATTAATTTCCACCCACTTTCTACTAAGGGTTTTGAAAAAACGGGCACATCGGAACTGCATTTTTGCGAGTGTAAATACTCATATTAACAGAATTTTCAGAAGAACGATCATCACATTTAGTCCGCCATCTAACTCCTAAACTCATTCAGTCAATCATTATGCCATATTTCAAAAGTATTACTTGTGTAAATCAACAAACAGCGGTCAGTTTTCCATGTGGCTTCATCATCAGTAAACATAATCTTTTCCCGAACATCCTGTCATTCAAGAAGTTGCCTTGTGCCCAAAAGCAAAATCCAAGTCTTTTGATGTTGTCGACTTCCGATAAAGTGAGCAAAAATTTTGGCATGAATGCATTCAGTTTATTCTTCTCAAGACATCACCAAACTTCAGTCTTTTCCAATTTGCGAGTGACTTCTCTAATACTTGCTTTGGAATTATTCCGGAATACTCGTATTATTTCATCATTCTGAAGTTCGTGGTTATTGACATCATTCCTCATTCTGGTCCGATGAGTAGTACCAAATATGTCGAACAAATTATTCATTTTGCCGCTGATTGAAATTCTGTGCCGTGCGTATAATTTCTACCTTACCATAATAGACTGTTGGCCCGCGACACAGGGTTTATCGATGTTCTAAGTCGATATGCCATTTAAGGGACCCAATCACTCAGTCCGAGTTAACAATGAGAAGTGCCTCGGAGAGTTGCAACCCAGTCCTTGCCCCGGCCCTGACCTCATCTTTCGGTTGGAAAAAATTTCAAAATTTTGTTTAAGAAGAAGCTCGGCAATGAAGTGCAATGATCTTATCTCACGAGAATTGGGGCGCTTGCCGGTTTGCATACGCCTAGGTCACTCCCCAAGGGCGGCATACGAACCGGAAGTGGAAATTTCTCAGTGTTATAGTCGATGATCGAAGAATGTATGCCCTTTGGCGAAACAATGAATTCGGACCCATTAATCAGTTTCCCGACATTTGCATACGATTCCGGAGAGGGGAGCTCGACTTATTCGAACATCATTTGACTGGATATTCTTCAAATAATCGATAATCGAAGAAATGTTCAAATTTTGACCATGGTTAGTTGACCACACAGTATATATGAGATGATGGTTTGCATACAATTTGCACATTCAGTACAGGGTGTTTCACCATAAATATCTCCCATTGTAACTTAGTTGTTTCTGAACCGATTTTAATATTTCAAAAACCAATTAAAATGATTTTCCTAAGAGATTCTTCATTGCTATCAAAAAATTCACAGGCTGTTCATAACAAACTATTGGGTAGTTGTTTATTTCTTTTTACTGAAACACTATACTTTACCTCACTATCGAGTTGAGATTATTATGACGAATAAAGCTCTACAGCATCTAGCGATATCATTTACACGCAGCACTCTTATAGCAATCATGCGCCAAATTGTCAAATTGTGCCAGAAATATGAATCCCGGGTTTGGAGTATTTCCTTTTTTTTTTGCTGAAACAATTTTCATATCTGAACAATGATTTTCTGCAGCAGCCGGGTAGAGTGTAGCACGTAATGATTTAGTATGCATTCAATAATGTTTTTCCCTGTTGTCGGAGATTCGACATTTAAATATCTCAAAAATCATTTATTTTTGTATAATGTATATTACAGATTTATTCACTTCTTACTGCCTTCCCTACCAGTGGTATGAATCAGATTACCAGTAACCCTGTATATAAGTGCTGCGTGTGAAATAATGAAGGAGGCTGGGCCCTTGATACTTTTTTTGGGACCGATTTCCATTGGTACCTTGGTGAAGCTCTTCCAGCAGAGGTTGGTGAGATCATAATCTCTGAGATTTCAACTGTGAAAGTATCAGGTATATCTTTCGATCATGCCAAGATTTTTCAATAATTAAATAATATTCTTACTACCAGGTACTGATGACAAATCTGGAGAATCATCTTCAGACAGCGAGAGCGAAGATGATTCTGAAGATAATGATAGAGAGGACGACGTATAATTTCCTCTTCGAAATATAATGTTGTTCTCATTTAATATAATTTCATTTTCAAATAAATTTTTTTTATGTGAATAACAAAAATGTAGATTAAAGTTCAGGTCCCCATACTATACCCAAAACATTCAACAAACTAAATGTACATTCTTTTTATATTTTTCAGATGCCAGTATTATGATAAGCAATCCTATAAGCCCCAGGAAGAATTTCAATTCGATTTATTGTGAGTTTCGATCATGAGCAATAATCCACCCCTATTCTCCCTGTACGATCCCTCCTGATCATCTTGCGAATATCTTTTTGTCAATCCGTTTTATCATCTTTTCAAAGCCCCGTTTTTCAAATTAAAATCACACAAAAAAAATTCTTGGTACTAAACCTCTCACACATGTAATTTTGTTGAGCTGTAAATTTCTGATAAATACAAATATATCTGCAATTTGCGTCTTCGAATATCCCCATCACTACCAGGAAGATAATATTTGACCCGGTTTCATGTGAAGTGAAATTATAAGACTTCCCGATTATCTAGTTCGCTTTCGGTGCACCTCTGGCCTGCAGTGCAGGGCGCCGCGCCGGACCGAGGCACGCGCGGGTTTGCCCGATTATTACAACGTATGCTCACATTGAATTCGTATGCAAATAGCATCCAGTTATGAAGAATATCCTAGTTTATCGGTCTAGAGATTTGCATACGAACTTAAATCATCGATTATTTGAAAGATGTCTAGTCAATTGATGTTTGAATATGTCGAGCTCCCCTCTCCGGAATCGTATGCAAATGTCAGGAAACTGATTAATGGGTCAGAATTCGTTGTTTCGCCAAAGGGCATACATTCTTCGATCATCGACTATAACATTGAGAAATTGCCACTTCCGGTTCGTATGCCTCCCTTGGAGGGTGACCTAGGCGTATGCAAACCAGCAAACGCCCCAATTGTCGTGAGATAAGATCATTGCACTTCATTGCCGAGCTTCTTCTTAAACAAAATTTTGAACTTTTTTCCAACCGGAAGGTGAGGTCAGGGCCGGGGCAAGAACTGGGTTGCGACTCTTCGAGGCACTCCTTCCTGTCAACTTGGTCTAAGTGAGTGGGTCCCTCAAATGGCATACCGACTTAGATCATCGATAAACCCTGTGTCGTGGGCCAACAGCCTATAAATAGAAAGGCGAAGGGCCATTTTAACGCACTATTCAAAATGTTTCAGCTCGAATATTTCGGAAACACATAATCAATCATTACAATAAGCAGATGACTCTGACAATGAACAAATAATCGAATGTTTATCCTAGCCATCACGGCCTACTGTATTCTAACCAAGTGTGCACTGGGCGATTTCTTGAATGACATCAGAATGTTCTTGAAGTAGATTGTGTTTACTGATGAAGCCACATTGAGAACTGACCACTGTTTGTTGTTTTACACGACTAATACTTTTGGAATATGGCATATTGATTGACTGAATGAGTTTAGGAGTTAGAGGGCGGACTAAATGTGACGATCATTCTTCTGGAAATTCTGTTGAAACGAGTATATACGCTCTCAAAAATATACGTTTTTTTTTAAAGTTTCCTTTTTCTGCAGGGAAAACTGAGAAGTGTCAAAATGTATTTGAACATTCGCTAATAATGTATCATGCCGTGGCAACCTAACAAACAACCTAATTTGACCAAAATGTAAAAGTCACTGTCAAGCAATTCTGACATTTATAGGGTACTGAGACGCAGGTAGCTTTGATTTGATCACAAAACTTATTAATTATTATCTCATAAAAAAAAGATTTCTTCCACTTGTTGGATAAAACATTGTATGTCACTCTTGTGTTATATTTTTCCTAAGTCACTTGAGAATTTCTCTCGTGACTTATTTTCAACATAACACACTAGTACCATAAATAGCTATTAGTCTTGAAGCTCACGAGACCGTATCCTTCTGTTTGATGAAATACTGAAATACTTTTGTTCAATAGCGTCAAAGAATATCGGACATCATTTTGTTATCATCCGCTTGCTCGCAATAAGCTAAAACAGTTGACATCAATGATTCTGACACCAGGACTAACTCCGCACAGCTTAGGTGGAATGAGCTGTCACAATAATTCATGCATTTTGAAGCATTCACAATTATTTTACTTTTACATTTCCTACACACAGCGTTCGCTGACGAACCACTTCCGACGGCGGCCATAACTGATTATAAAGGCTGTTTGGTTCACCGAAGTATATCTGGGAGGAGGTGGTAGGTAATGCGAACATATCTAATCATATATACTATCATACAAAGTGTTACACATTTCGAGAAATCATCGCTTATAAATTCGAAGTTGGATATTACAGAAAACCGTCTTTTAAATTCTAACGAGTCGAAACGCATTGTTTCATCACATTTATATCCCATTACGAGTTCAATATTGATGAAATACGTATTCAACTTGGAACTAAAAGATACAATCAGATAAAATGTTTCACAAAAATATATCTCGAATTTCGTAACAGTTTGTATAATATAGTATATATGGTTAAATAAATATGTTGGAAACGTCACCACATTCCATACGTCAGTGAACCTAATACCCTGTATAAATATACCAGTGCTGTAACTTCCGAATCATTCGCGGTTAGATTTTGTTTGGAAGGTAACAAATATATTATTAAGTAACTTTTTATTCATTGACGAACAATATTTCATTTCATCATTTTCTATTCGAACATGGAGGAAATTAACGGAAACTTATATTTGTTAGCCTGGTGAAAGGGGAGCAGCAGGTGATAGAGGACCAGAGGGGCCGAGTGGATTACCGGGAATGCCAGGTAAAGAGGGACCTCCGGGATTTCCGGGACCACCTGGACAGAGCGGACAACCTGGACTTCCTGGAATAGCAGGATCCGCGGTATGTATAATCCTGAATACTATTATTTGTATAATCATGAGACATTATTATGATACTAGTAGTAGTTATAAAAACCGTTAGCATTTTCTTCTTTTATCATACACGGAGAAAAAAATCACTAATCCTAAGTGAATATTTAATAGTGGCAAGTAAAAACTTGTATACTATATGGGACAAGGAAACAAGTTAATAACCACAAGAATATTTGTGTTCCTGAAAATGTACACCTACCACTATTGACCTGTTTCATTAAATTTCAGAGTGATAACGGTAAGTGAACACATCATACTTGTCATCAGTGACCTATTCAATTGTCATTAGTGACTCATTTACTTTTCATTAGTGACTTGTTCACTAGTCATTAGTGGCCTAATTACATGTCATTAGTGACTTATCTACTAGTCATTAGTGACTTATTTATTTGTCAATAGTGACTTATTCACTTGTCATTAGCTAGTATGAAAAAATACCTCCATTGTTCTCTGAAGAATGATAAAACCTTGGTAATAAGACAAAAACACATGCATTCAAAACATTTTATTCTATAGGTACGATGAATCCAAAAAATACAAAAAAGGTAAGGCTGACGACAAATATTGAGATACTAGATACCGCGTATATCAGCATCATGCACCGAGAAAAACGGTACTCTCACTCACTGCACTGCACTCTGGTTCACTATCTTTTTCCTTCCAGCATTGAGAATGAATCAACTTTCATACTCTTCAAACGCCACTTCCTTCCACTTCGAGTATCATAGGAAGTGGAAAAAAATCCTGTATATATGTAGAAACAATTATGAACTGTTCTAGAAGAGTTTTGTATTTCATTATCTCCTTCAAGAGAACAGATCAAGAACTCAACACCCCACAGCTCAGAGCACGGCCACAGAGCACGGCACACAAACAGAGAATTCTCATACGAATATGATATAGTAGTTGTTCGAAAGGGCACTTGCATGACTTGGAATTTCAATGTTACTAGCGGAAACGCAAGTATACTAACTTCACGAATGCTAAGATCGAAATGACGCCGTGGACTCGACAGCGATCGCGTTGGGCGTGGGTACTCGAATGATATCGAAGATGTCCGAACGGAAAAGAGATCTATAACTACAGGTGAGCTGTCACCTGCAATAATCGACTTGATAGATTGTCTTTATTGATGAGTTCGCTCAGAGCAAGTGATCTTATGTCAGAAAAATAATTTAATAATAGTGAGTATTCGTTAACCTAGCACTAGTTTAGTGTTCACTTAGAATTAGCGAACTCTAAGTACATATCGACTTGGTTGATACAAACAAGTGTTCTGATCACTTACAGCAGAAACTTCGTTCCAGAAATATAGTTTTGCCTACTGCAAGTACCATATTTTCCTACCGTTGGTGAAAATGTTCTTGTCACAATTCAAAAATGCAAAGTATGTCGAATCAAAAAAGATATCTCATGTTTCTGCTGTTGATTATCGCAATGTCAAGAAATTTTGAGAAAAATGTGTGTTCAGACCATGCTGCATGTATCCATATTATTCAATATATCGAAGACTGGAACCTTTGGCACGATAATACACTACACTGTTTTACTATGTTAGCGAAACACGTGTCGAGGCGTTTCTAAAATCGGTTTGGTCGGTGGTAAAACAGTGTAGTGCATATTATTCAAAGTGATTTTTTCAACAGGACACCGACAGCTTGAGGAACACATTATTTTAAGCTGAAAATATCATGCAAACATATAATTTTGATTGAAAGATGCTGCTATTTATCACTCGATAAATTTTCAAATTGAATTATAATGCCTACTGCATCTTATTGTATTGCTATTATACAAGATGTTTTGTTCACCGACGATTATCTGGAAGGAGGCGGTGATGGGTGATGTGATTTCGAACATATTTAACCATATAAGGTATTCAACAAGGATTGAAAACTACGTGACCAGATTGGTAAGCAACGCAACAATACATTTTTGTTATCATATTTACCCAGGTAACATCATCATATATAGGTCATATTTGCACCTCAGATAATTCATGAGTGTAGTTTCCAGTGTTTACGTTCTGTGGTCAAGTCCTCCGCAATTTGATTGGCCCATTGATTTGCCAACTGCCATCGCAGCCAATAGCTTGCATTGTTCACAAAAAAATCAAAAATGGAAAGTTGGATTGTGAATCTAGCTCATCAATTTTGTGTTTGATATTTTTGTTCGCACAGCTGTGGCCCAGTAGCACCCAGTGATGATCATTTGATCATTATTTCGCTTACAATTACTGTGCAAAAAACAGTATTTATCATCTCTAATTTATTATTGTGCAAAGGTAATACCAAATATTAACCTCTTGTTTTTATTGGTCATGTCTTTATTCTCCTTTCAGGATTATCAAAATGGGTTTTTCTGGTGAAATCGATGCCTCTTACTGCGGGCACCTTTTAGAAGTGCTACTCGTAGGTAATCCTGATGGAACGTACATAATCACTCCAAAGCTGCTTGGAACAATTTCATGATGCATTTCTAAATGCTTAAATATATCTTATGATATATTTCCACTCACAGACTGCATATATTACCTGCTATACTACATTTTGAAATGATATTGAGAATCGTATGGTGAAAATCCCTAACGAATCTGTCTCAAAGTTGTCACAAAAAACAGGTAGAAAACTCAATTAGTAGGTGGAGTTTCGATGGATATAATTTAATATTTGATTGATTAGATTTCGATTTTGTCATTGGTTTAATGAGCATTTGAATGATGACGATGTGCTAGATTCAACTTTTTTCAAACCTATTGTTTTTATTTCAGAAAAAAGTGAATGCTGAAAGATAAATATCATAATATATATTCGAATATTGTGAGAGAAGTTTTTAGCAAGTTTATGATGATGAGCTTCGATTTGGGAATTTACAACAATATGGAGCTACGCAGCTCACACAGCTAGAAGAACTATTCAGTTCTTTCAACAATATTATGGCCACCAAGATCTCCTGATCTCACCCCGCCAGATATTTTCTTAATCGGACATCTCAAAAACAATATCTATAAGAATCTATCACATGATCTCACTGAACTTCAAGAATCCTATTTCAAACGTGAAATTCAAGGTACCACTGAGCATCAACTCAGCCAACCCAGCAAAAAATTTCGGTCGTTATTACGTCGGCCCAAAACATTCTTGCCAGAAGTTGCCGACGCGACAAAAGAGCGGCAAACGACGTCGGTCAGACGTCAATAGGTCACTCTGGCCGACGGCCGGACCGATGTCTGTATACCGTCGGACCTAAAATTAAAAAAAGTAATGACCGGTCGCCGCGTTAGATCCTGCGACCTTTGGATTACGAATCCACATTTAAAAGTAATTTATTATCTTCCGTCTTTGGTTTACAGCACATAAATACATCCAAATTATAAATAAATAAGTATACTAAGTACAATTTAAAACTGTATAGATAAAATCCTCCGAGCAAGCAGAGGTGGCTGGTGTTGGCCAAGGAATATGGGTGCATATATGAAGTGTTCGTCGCAGAAGCCTATCTCCTAGGCTGTCCTAGGGCTAAGCCCTTTATAAAGGTAATTCACTGAGGTTACCCAATGGGTGGGGTAGTTGTTCAGACGCTATCAATGGTGGGTGTTGTGTTTTGTTTTGTGGAGGGAAATAAAATTATAAAACAAAACCTCCTTCTCGTTTAGCTCGGCCAGGAGTGAGAGCGCTCCCCCACCCCCACTCGGCTTTTTGGGCCGGTCGCGGGTGCGGGGGCGCTAAGAGCCGAGTTCAGTGTCGTTCCGTTGCATTTTCTGCATCAGGGACACTATTTTATTTTCACTTCCTGGGAAATAAAGATGACTGGATCCTCCTCGGAGTCTCGGACGGGTCCGCGGCTCCGGAAATATTCCCATCTATAGGTTTCCAGGGTCTCTAAAAACATCGGTTGATGCATATATCAGCCCGTGTTTTTCACGGATGTTATGATGCTGTCTGGTTGCGGTGATGTTCCGGGTTAGGTCACTTCCAGCGATGTGGTATTTGTAGAATCTATTGGGAATTTTCAATATGTACTCACTGACTCTAGGCAAATTACCACATCTCTCGTGGAGATCTGCCACTCGAGAGTATCTATCACCGTTGGTGATAATATGGAGTACTTTGTACTGCAGCACCTGTAGCCTATTCATATGAGTAGTTGGGATGCTGCAGTACACCGGACACGCATAATATGTCATTACAGGCCTGATGATTTGCTTGTATACCAGGACCTTAGTCTCCAGCGAGAGGGGAGTTCTTGGATAGCAAGGGATACATCTTTTCAATTGCAGCTTGCGTTTTCTGTAATAGGTAGTTTGTATTCTTCCTGAATGACATATGGGTGTCCAACTTGACTCCCAGGTATTTCGCGGGGTTCGTGTCTGTCACCATAACCCCTTTGACGGTCAAAGGTCTGCTCAACGTGGAGTTATTGCGTTTCTGATGAAAATGTATTACTTCGGGTTTTTCACTGGTGATGCGGATCTTTGACTCGTCAAAGTACGGTATGATTCCCCTGTTCAGATGGATCTGGATCTGTGCCCTGGCGATATTCGAGTCGTCCGAGTGAGCATGCAGTGCCTCCAGATCATGTTCTGTGAACTTGTTTCTGGGCCTGTTGTACACTGCAAAGATAATTTCCCCACTCCGCAGTCTCACCCCGGCATGCTCAATTGATGTTTGCCTTGGCGCGACCAAGGTTTGGGGAATTTTTGTGTCTTTTGCAGCTTTGGGAGAGGGTTCTTATTGCTATCGACAAAGTGAACAAGGCACTTCAAAAGGACACAGTTTCTGTCTACGATGCAAGCAAAATGATAAAGGGGCTATCAAATACAATCCAAGAAATCAGAGGCGAGGGTATCGAGCCAATTCTCGAATTCGCTTCCCAAACCTCGAAAGATCTTGGCATTGATGATTATTTTCCTGAAAAAAGGCGAAAGACAGTAAACAAACGACTTGAGGACTTAGAAACACAGTCCAGAGAGGACAACACTTGCTACCTAACTGCAGAAGAAGAATTTAAAAGAGAACTTAACTTAGTACACGATCGAATTCTAGCAGAGCTGAAGGAGAGATATGAAACATTGGAGATACTATCATCGGACTTCTACTTTCTAACTGGACCAGCACTAAAAAATGAACCATTGAATGTGTTGAAGAGACATGTTGCAGATTTTGGTCTAAAATACTCTTCAGACGTTGATGTTGTGGAACTATCCAACGAAATTGAGACATTTGAAAATCAAGCAAAAGAACTCGTTGAGAAAGATCTAGAGAAAGCAACCCCATGGATCTGCTAAGGAGAATTCAAGAATTAAAGTTATAAGACATTTTTCCAAACATCAAAATTGCTCTCAGAATCTTTCTGACTACCAGTTACAGTCGCATCTTGTGAGCGAAGTTTTAGCAAACTAAAGCTAATAAAAAATTATCAAAGATCTTCGATGGGACAAGATCGCTTGACAAATCTCGCTATACTCAACATTGAACACGAAGAGGTAGCCAAGTTAGATTTGGATGACCTCATCAACAGTTTCGCTTCTGTCAAAGTAAGAAAAGTTTCTTTCAAGTGAATATGTTAAGGATGTTCGCTACGCTACGGGTGAAAGGGGGGTCCAAAATGCAAAATTTCAAATTCTGAAAAATACGGCTGGGGATATGATTTTTATAAATAAATGTAGACTAGCGAGTTTGAAACGTACATTAAATCAATTATGTATGAATTAAAAATTTGTTTATTAATCCATATGACACTGAAAACACTTTAATATTGACAAACTTTACATCTTTAAAGATACTGACGAAGTATTTGCTCCAGAAACCAACATTCTTATGACAAAGTAAACACATAAAATATGTTTCACAAAGACGCTCATAAAGCCTCAAAATGATTAATTTTGCTTTGAAATTTTCAAAATTTTCCCTTTGTTGTTGGGGGGGCGCTAAAACAAATATCGAGTAAATTCAACTGCACCCCGAAAAATATAGCTGGCGCTGGCATACCATATTATATGGCGATCATGTGGCGATTGATGCGAATATCGCTCTTGAAGGCTCGTTATAAGGTGATGTGCACGGATTCCTGAACAATTCATAGTTGCGAGCACTTGAAAGAGTTCGCCATTAGTAATTGATGCGAATTTCCCAAATTCCTCTTCACAAGGCTATGCGTGCGAATATCTCGAACAGCTCGTAGTCGCGAGCACTTGAAGACCACGTCAGAAGCAATTGATGCGGATCTCCCAATGTCCTCGTCACAAAGCTATATGTATGCGAATTTCTCGAACAGCTCATAATTGCGCCTGGGGGCATAGTATGAGAATTTCAGCGTGGGATATCTTCAGGACCTCGCTGAGCTCAGCGTAGGTTGCGGACATTTGGAGGAGATATAGCGCTCTCGGCGATTTCTCAAAGAAGTAACAAAAGGCATCACAATTTCCTAGAAGGATATCTTCAAGATATCTTCAGGACCTCTTTGTACTGGCTGGGGTGTTATCTGCATAGGTATGATAGGAATTCGGTAGTCAATCGGAGATTCGGATGTTTTTCCTTGTTCATCATTTGTGAAGGGTGTCGCAATAAGAACGCACATTTTGATTTTAAAATCGAAATCATATCTATTTTAAACTACCACTCAGTTCAAAATAGATTCCGACTTTCATTTCACAATTAGAATGTGCGCTATTATTTAGGACCACCTTTATATATTTGTTATGATAATGATAATTATTAATGAAATATTCCTATTCGACAGTTAACCGCAAATAAATTCCGTACACACATATATAATTTCAAGAAAGGTGAATAGTAGCGCAGTTGAATTGGAATAAGTTCAATTTGTCACCAAGTAATAGCGAAGGACCGGGGTTCGAATCCCGTGGCGGTTTTTTTTTTTTTTTCATTTGAATGTATCGGCAGATATGTACTGAATGAATACAGGTTGTTTTATGACGATAGTCGAATAACCACTGTATAGTGGATTAGTTACTTAGTTACTGCAACATTTATTCTATTCGACACTCTGTGTTATCATAGAAACTAGAACAAGTGGTAGTTATTCAGCAGCGGTGTTCATACAAGTTTGCAAATTGAATATGCTGTCATAACAACAAGTCAACTGAATATTCACTTCATTTATGGTAGCAAATGAACACATCGGTCCGCTATTCATTGCAGATATCGTAATAACGGTTATCAGATTCCCAATTATGGTAACTCAAGTTTTCTCTCAGTGTAGAAACTGGATATTAAAAATATCTACCAGCTCTGATTGTAATAACCATTATAAGGAAATCTCCTATTCCTGATCATTTTATTATTACAACAGTATTCTCTCCATTCTGTAATTATAAAAATCGATTTCTTAAATCATTTGTAATACCCTTGAATGGACATTTGCTAAAATCATAACGCAGGTGTGTTATGACATTATGAGAATTTTATAAATTCCAGTCTATTTAGATTTTTTATTGACATAGCTCGTTTTGTGAATTATGCTCATTGGTGAATTCAGATAATGTTTGTCCCAATAATCATAGCTGTTTGGGTTTCTAGCATTGTAAGTTGACGAATAACTCTAGCAATTCACATGTATAACGGTTATTAGGCAATCATTCGACAATCGTAATTCGGCTCATTTCGCTCTAGTGTTTCATTAGTATTGGGGCTGACAAAGATACAGATCGCGTTCATTTCACTTCTGTTCTCGGTCATGGGTGCCCGTGTTCAATTATTGTTCAATGGTTTCGATCGTCCGAATCGATAGAGCCGTGTTTTTGTAGGTGAATGTCTGTGATGTAGCAAAGTTTTGTTTTAGTGCTGGCTGTGAACCGATCTGTGGAATTCACCGTGCATTGCATTATTGCAATGAAAAAAGTATTCTCTATACCCACTTTTCACGGCCTAAAATTGGTTTATTTCAAAAACAAAATGATCGATGAGATTCTGAGTCAAAATATCTGGGTTTTTGTGAGGGAAGTTTTATTGACAATTCTCATCATCACTCCGAAGGAAGGGTAAATATAAGTATTCAACTTCTCATTTCTTAATAAATTCGTCAGTACGCATGTAGATGATATTTCTCCGAAAAAATCAATGAGTAATGTCAAAAAACTTCCACAGATACCCAAATATTTCAATTCGGAGACTAAACGTATTTTTTTGTTTTTTTTTTTGAAAACAATTACTTTGGATCATGAAAAGTGAGTGTGGATAGGATATTTATTTTCATTGCAGTAATTCAAAGCACGGTTTCATAATGCATACCATCGAATAATGTTGATTAGATAACCTTATTACCACTGTTTGATGAATATACTAGAGTAGAAAAATATTGGGATAGCTGTTGAAAATGAGCTATATTACAATAGCATGTCAAAATGTCAGGTTTCATGCAGATATCAGATAACTATAATAAAATGAGACGTATTACTGCGTTACCTCAAGATGGTTGTCCCAGTAATAAAAACATGCTGTTTTATGTCGATAGTCTAATAACCACTGTAGAGTGGAGAGTTACTGCAACATTTCATGGGAATAATTCCTATTCGACATTCTGTTTTATCATAGAAACTAGAAAAAGTAGTAGTTATTCAGCAGCGGTGTTTTTATACAAGTTTGCATATTGAATAAGCTGCCATAACTACAAGTCACCTGAAAATTCACTTCATCTATGGTAGAAAATGAACACATCTGTCCCCTATTTATTGCAGATATCGTAATAACGGTTATCATATTCCCAATTATGATAACTCAAGTTTTCTCTCAGTGTATTATCACAATACCAACGACCTATTTGTGTCAGAACCCCAGGCCCCACACTGAAAGAAACTGGATATTAAAAATATCTACCAGCTCTGATTGTAATAACCATTATAAGGAAATCTCCTATTCCTGATCATTTTATTATTACAACAGTATTCTCTCCATTCTGTGATTATAAAAATCGATTTCTTAAATCATTTGTAATACCCTTGAATGGACATTTGCTACCATCATAACGCAGGTGTGTTGACATTATGAGAATTTTATAAATTCCAGTCTATTTAGATTTTTTATTGACATAGCTCGTTTTGTGAATTATGCTCATTGGTGAATCTAGATAATGTTTGTCCCAATAATCATAGCTGTTTGGGTTTCTAGCATTGTACGTTGACGAATAACTCTAGCAATTCACATGTATGACGGTTATTAGGTAATCATTCGAAAATCGTAATTCGGCTCATTTCGCTCTAGTGTTTCATTAGATGCCGTTTAATCTATGGTATTGGGGCTGACAAAGATACAGATCGCGTTCATTTCACTGCTGTTCTCGGTCATGGGTGCCCGTGTACAATTATTGTTCAATGGTTTCGATCGTCCGAATCGATAGAGCCGTGTCTTGTAGGTGAATGTCTGTGATGTAGCAAAGTTTTGTTTTAGTGCTGGCTGTGAACCGATCTGTGGAATACACCGTGCATTGCATTATTGCAATGAAAAAAGTATTCTCCATACCCACTTTTCACGGCCTAAAATTGGTTTATTCCAAAAACAAAATGATCGATGATATTCCGAATCAAAATACCTGGGTTTCTGTGAGGGAAGTTTTATTGACAATTCTCATCATCACTCCGAAGGAAGGGTAAATATAAGTATTCAACTTCTCATTTCTTAATAAATTCATCATCAATGCATATAGATTATATTTCTCCGAAAAAATCAATGAGTAATGTCGAAAAACTTCCACAGATACCCAAATATTTCAAATCAGAGACTAAACGTATTTTTGTGTTTTTTTGAAAACAATAACTTTGGACCATGAAAAGTGATAGTGTGGATAGGATATTTATTTTTATTGCAGTAATTCAAAGCACGGTTTCATAATGCATACCATCGAATAATGTTGATTAGATAACCTTATTACCACTGTTTGATGAATATACTAGAGTAGAAAAATATTGGGTTAACTCATTATTCCAAATTTTTTGAGATTTTCTCTCCTCGTTTCTATAAAATAAAAATATGAATATTATTTCAATATACGTGTAGTAAGGACAAATCGGATGATTTGCCCCAAAATGTCACTGCGTTTAAAGAATTTTCCTATCAGAGAGCCTAAAAGAAAAATTCACTAGGAAAATTCTTTAAACGCAGTGACATTTTGGGGCAAATCATCTGATTTGTCCTTACTACACGTATATTGAAATAATATTCATATTTTTATTTTATAGAAACGAGGAGAGAAAATCCCAAAAAATTTGGAATAATGAATGTACCATACCTCCTCGATTAACCTACAGACAGTATTGGGTTAACTGTTGAA